GCAGTCCGCTGGGCCAAGCTCTTATTCAGAGCCTCACAGAGCCCATCCTGGCGTGGAGACCTCGGCCCAAGCAGCCGCTCAGGCCTCCGCTGAGTTGCCATCTCGGGACCTGCAGGGGGAGCTGGAGCCCCACGCCCCACTGGGCCAGAACCCCAGGCTGGAGAGACCTCCCTGCGCCAGGCCCCCAAACCGGAAGTAAAATCCAACAGTATCGTCGTGAGCCCCCGGCAGAGGCTCAAGTTCGTGTGCAATGTCCCCAGGGAGTTTGGCAATGCGGTTCCTGACAACATGCTGGGCCAGAGCACTGGTGCCCCTTTCCTTAGCCACCGACATGGCCACCACAGATTACTTCCACCCAGACTACATCCCCGAGCATCTGCAGGGCCCGGGAAGAGCTCCACCCTGCGTGTCCTGCTCACCCACGTGGACGTGAAAGATGCTCAGCAGGCCCTCTAGGAGCTGGCCAAGGGTGTATCCTGGCCGACTGCACTCTGGTCCCTGCCTGGAGCCCCCAGGAGGCTGGGTGGTACCTGGATAGTTGCCAGGCCTACAAGCAGAAGCCGGCAGACCCCCTGACGGGTTGTTATAAAGAGTAAGTAAGCTGATGTCTCTAGATCTATATTGACTGCAGTGTTTTTCTTTTTGTTGTTGTTTTTGTTTTGTTCTCGAATGATCTCTGTTTAAAGGATGTCCTCTATAATGTTATGCCCCATGATCTCCCTCTTTGTTGACAGAGTACAGAAGCTACTGTGCATAGGTGCACGGGAGAGTTGCCGTTTTTTGGAGAAAGGGTTGCAGCCCCTTGGCAACCACCTCCCCTGCTGTGCAGAGATTTGGAGAGAGCAGCTGGGTGTGTGCTTAGGGGTAGGGCCTCTGAGTGAGAGACAGGTGTGCTAGATTTGATCAGCCAGTCTGGCAGGTTGAGAGGGAGACCGAGTTCCTGATCTATTCTGAACGGGATTGCTTTTATTTTTTTTAATTCATTAAAGACTCTCAACTGGTTTTATTGAATTTCTCTTCAGTATTTCACTAGTAACACTCTGAGATTTTATTTGGGGACAGTTTCTCCAAATTGAAATAATAAGTCTCTTACGTAAAGGAGACAGCAGTGAGATGCAGTGGCATTGCTAGTAAGTCAGGGAAAGAGCGAGGGCACAGTTTGATTCCCAGTGGGAGGGTTTCTGGGAAAGTTAGATAGAAGACATTGACTTTCTGTAAATGGAAAATGAGCACTAATCAGTGACCTCAGGGACTGGCTGGTCAATGCTTAAGATGATGGAAAAATCTTTGAAATCTGTCAGAGATGCTTGCTAATCCAAGTGGAGGAAGATAGGGTATTAGAAAATATTCTTGACCTAAGTTAGTTTTCAGTTTCAATGGCTGTGTTTCCGCTTCTTCAGTGTTTTACATTATTCAGATATTAAACACAGGTTAATTCTACCAATATGTCCAGAGGAATAAAAACTATCAGAAATATAGTTCTTAATTTTCACATGTGGCTTTTCTACCTTCTTTTGTCCTCACATATACATATTATCCTTTTTCTTTATGCTCTCACTTATTGTTTCCCCAACCTATGGATTGGTTAAGAAAAATCAGTTTTACTGAGCTTAAGGTAGGAGTGAGACAGCTTGTCTCCTAAATCAAAATAACAAATGAAGTTTGCTCCTGAGTTTACGTGATCTCTACGACATCCAACCACACATGCAGCTTTCTTCTTCCACCCCCAAAACATCAGTGGTTGTGGTTTTAGGGTAATGGTTCATTGAGCAGGTTTCGATTTTTGTCGTTGACACAGAAAAGAAGCAATTGCCACTGCAAAGAAGCGTTGCCATGATAACTACTCTTAATAAGCATTTGTTGTATAGCTGGATGAAAGTTACAGGAAACATCAATGATAATGAATGAAGGAATGCATGAGATAGGTTGGAACGCCATGATGATAGCATTTTTTTCATGTCTTTTTTTAAATACCTTTCCTTCCTCAGGACCCCCTAATATCTATGTGAACCCAAAGATCTATTTTGGATCACTTTGTAGTATGGATCAATGCAAGTAGGCAGCTGACTATTAGAGTTCACTTTCCCCTCTTGAAGAATCAGATTTTATGGTGCAATGAGAAATCATTTTTGTTCTTCAAGATCACAAGTCTGTATTGCTTACTGGAACATAGAGGAAGGGATGTTTCCCTTATGCATCCTTTTTGAAAAAGTTCTCTAGATCTCATGAGACCAACAATTTTGGACGCTATTGCATAGTTTGAAGAATCTACAAATTGCTTTTGTTCCTCTTTATTAGTCCATCACAGTTCTCATTTAACCCTCATTTTTTCTTTTCCTACTTTCTAGATCTGAACATCTTTCCAATAGTGGCCTTTATGCATTCTAATGATTTAATTAGCTGCCTTTTATTCTGCCTTAGTCTCTCTCTCAAACTATATTAAAAATCAATTATTATAACAATTCTAATGATCTAATGTGATGTTGGACAGTTCAGGTCTGGTCCCAGAATAAAAAAACATCAAACAAGGGGTATAAGAAGGGGGAAGGATGAAGTCAGGACCATGTATAAAGGACCCATGGACAAAGCCAAAGTGGGGAAGGACTGAGGGTGGGAGGTGGGGGTGGGTGGGGCAGGGGAAAGTGGTGGTGGGAAAATGGAGACAACTGTATTTGAAAAATAAAAAATAAATTAAAAAGAAAAAAGGATAAATTCAAAATAGATCAAAGATATAAATATTAGACCCCAAAACATAAAAATCCTAGATTAAAACATAGGCAGTAAAATCTCAGAAAAAAAAATTCCAAGAACAATAAAAGGACATGATACTTTCTTGCTCTGGATTTCTTTGCTTTGCCGTGCTTCCCAAACTTATACAACATAAATCGACAGTTTTATCTTATTTGTATTTGTATTATCAAAGATATGAAAAATATGCCATGGAGTTTATAGTCAGATTGAAGACAAGATGGAAGATGGGTTAAACTGACAAAGATAATCATTTTACTGTTTTGTGCATGGTTTCCTACCCTATACTTTGGTTATCTCCCTCTCTCCGGCAGTGCTAGCCAGAGGAGATGTTAGCAATGCATGACCGAAATGGAAAAGACATGGAATGAGCATGAGACGAGATGAATGAATGAAAAGATGAAGAATATATTTCTTTAGAAAAATACACAAATATACACCTTTTTGCTTATCACATACACTGTATTAATTTATACACATACATAGCATAAGCATTTCACATAAATTTGGCACCATGTACAATTCTATAATAAGCAATTTTCTTCAGCCCCTACGATATTAGCTCATAACATCTAGAATATTTTAGCAACATATTATCACATTTGTACTAGAGCTGCCTGAAATACACTGTTTTCCATGTTTGTAAACAAAAATAGAAACACCATTACATAAACACTGTGATTGGAAAAATACCCTCTCTTTAACTCCTCCCTTACATTCAGTAAAGGAGACTTAAACTACTTTAGTATCCAAAATATTTTCTGAAAGAATATAATTTTGGGGGGGTAAACTATCTATGTAACCAGAACAAATTTTTTGTCTTTCCACAACTAAATCACTTCTACAGGCGGTGGCATAAGATGTCATAGATGAGACTTGAGATTTAAAGGGTTTCAATGTATCTCCTCATTTAGCATAGTAATTAAATAATGATAACTCTGAATACTATTGCAAATTCACAAATTAATTTCAGGTGCCAGTAATAACACTGTTCAGGGACTTTTGAAGATTTTATACTGGGGAAATAAAGAGAGACATGGGAATATAACTTTGGGTTTCAATGAGAAACTGTTAATTTTAAATGAATTGATATGGTTCAACTTGTGGTGGTTACATTTTCCCCCCTCTTGTGCGCAGCAAACAAGAGGTCAGCTACAACCTGACTTAGAGTTAGCCCTGCTGAATCTTCCTGAAAAAGACTGAGATCTTATTAAGCTTTGAAGCTGGGTGGAAAGCAGTGAATGAACTTATATGGAGTCCTTTAATTACCGGTCTTAAATGTATCTTTTACTGCTAGGTAGCACCCGAGGGCAAGAGGTAATCAGCTTTATAAACTTTGGAGTAATTTGCTTTCTAAATCCTGGAGCTTAGGAAAGTAGAAAACTTTCTTTAAAGAGAATATTCTCTTCCACTAGGAATTATTTTTTTTTTGGCAGTTTTGTGAAAAATTTAGCAAAGGATTTTCTGTGACCTCCCAATTTATAAATGTCAGCGACCAAAGCACATTTCAACCTGAAGGCCCATTCCTTACAAAAGTTAGGGCTGCCTAGTGGACAGGATTATCTAAAACCAGACTGAGCATACATTATTAATAAACCAATTAACAAATTGGCCCATCTAATGTTTCAAGCAAAGTGACTCAGTTTCTTTTTCATTCAAAGCATTACGTTTTCCTGCCAAGCGTGAGTCTTTTACCCACATTCTTAGTCATCTCTATATGAGAAAGTCACTTTGTCTTGTAGAGGTCACGTTGTAATTTGTGTAGTTTGCATTGTGTGGATGGTAAAACATCTGAGTCGTATCAGAATTGATTGAAATAAAAAAATTAAAAATCAGATCCATAGCCAAATACAGAAATATTCTAATTCAAATTTTAGAGTTAAAAATAAAAGACTTTGACAGTGATTTTAATTTTTCAAGGTATAAATGGCTCAAGATTAACAAGGAGCACCCTGTATCTGAACTAGATCAATTTAACTGTGTTTTTCTTGGATACTTTGCTTGCATTACACCTGCATTTCAGCACTGGATGAAAGATGGAATTCACAAGTGTTGCAGTGGGAGACTCCATTCCTGACTGTCTCCCATAGCAATAGTACCAAGGATATTCTTCAGATTCACTATGGACAAAGTTACTTAATAATTCTTCACAGATGACATGTTTGGCTCCTGGGAGGATGGGGATCACTCTAAACGCATGGTTGTTTTTTCTCCCAGGACATGAGGCTCAGAGATCACGATGCTCTACTGGCTTCACATTTAAGCGCTTGACTCCTGCTCCAGCACTTCCAGCACTTCCACCACTTCCATAGGGATGATCTCAGAAATCTCGCCGGGGTTGACGGCAACTTCGTTGTTCCTCGGCTCCTGATGGCAGATGTATATCGGGAGACCGCTACCAGCCTCAGCCTCGACGGCGGCGGCAGCGGCGGCGGCGGCAGCAGCGGCAGCGGCGGCATTGATATTGGGGCGCCTGCCGTTGGGGCGCCTGTCGCGGCGCCCATAGCGCTGGCTGCATTGGATCTTAAATTGCATCCACTGGCGCTTCAGGGTGGCTTGGACCTGGAAGAGAAAAGGGAGTTCTTGTTTTCATATAATTGTCAGAAATGACACAAGCCAAGTGTCTGAGCACAATTTTTGGAACTTATCAGAAGTTAAAGGTGGTTGGTTGAACTGTAATTCTGATTTAAAAGGCTGTGTGGGATGTGTTCTGGCTGTGCAGGGAAGAATTTGCAAGTTGGAGCAAGAGTTACCTGCTTAAGCTATTGTGGGCCAGGTTACTTGCTACTGCGCAAAGGTTTCTCCTTTAGCTCTTAAGTCCAATGAATGAAATTCGATTTGCTTTCACACTGAATATGTGGCATACACATCCAATGAGGGAGAAAGAACTGGAAAACATTTTATCTGCTACAACCTCTGATAAGGCAGAAGCTTTTTCTCTCTGTCTCCACATTATTGGTCATGAGCATCTCTATGTAAACCATAGCACACAGTTCTGGATTTTATGATAATGGTCTCATTCTGTTTATCTTTCTCTATCTAACATGGCTGGAGGTGGGGGTGTGCCATATAAAACTCCGGTTAAAGGAGTGACAACCTTTTCAGAAGAAAACTTTAATCTCTTTCTATTGAAAGACTTCTAATACATAAACAAGCTTACCACACGTGCTTTATAAACATGATAAGCTGTGCATAACCACAAGAAGAGGAGAAGATGCTGAAGTCAGGAAGCTCTCAATATGAAAACTACAATAATCATAATGGAAAACACCACCACAGGCACTACATTTGCTTGTCCAGCTTGATTTTTACAGAACCGGATTCAATGTAGCGGTTAATTTCATCTTTCTTGTCTCCTGAATTTCTTGCTTTTCTCTATAGTGGAATAAAACTAAAAAATAAGAGATTGTTGCTACAATGTCTACTCCATCTTTTAGAGAGATTCTATTGGTCAGTATATGAGACAAAATATTTGCATCAATTAATTAACACATCCTTTGCTTTGCTGCCAAATTTGAATATAACAATTAAACCTTACGGAGCACATGAGGGGGAAGTGGAAATAATGACATGGGATGAAGCGTGCGGTGAGTTGACTGTGGGGAGCCCTGTTACCTACTTTACCTTTGTATGAATCTGAAAGGGTGTATGAACAAGAGCCCAATCTACTAATGTTATAAAATGATATGCATGATTAAGAAGGCTAAACATTTCTGTGTCATGTACATTTTTTCTATCTATAGGAGAGTAACAATCCCTCCATATAATTATTAGTGTTTCTCATATAATTTTAAATATTTTACACAGGAAAAAGAACAGTAGTCTAATGGTTCATGGAGAAGTAAGTCAAAAGGGTATGACACTTGCAGCTGGAGAGACCAACCTCATGCAGCAGAGCACGTGTCAGGTTCAAGACGACACATGGTGACCAGAATAGATTGGTAAGTGGATCGTTTGGAATCCTAGTCTTTCCAAATTACTGAAGCAAAGCAAACTCTGCATTTTGTCTTGTTTTATTTTGGAGGTGATGAGTGCTCTGTTGCAAAGCACTCTCTATGTAATTTTATTTAAAAGAGACAAAGACATAAATTTTAAGGGCTAGGTGCCTTAACTCTGCATTGGCAAAAGACGTATGGGGAACCAAGGATGGCATAAAAGGCTTTGGCTGGTATATATTGAGGGCTTACCGTGTGCTGTAATCCAAGCATTTGATTAGTATTAACTTATTTTAATGCTAACAACCTGCTACTAATCTCTTCCCTTGCCAGACGACAGCTGAGGTTATGTAATGTGTCTGTGGTCAGACAGCTGCAATGCAGCAGAACCACAACTCCACATGAAGCCCATGGCTTCCGATCGTGCCGCGCAGCCACAGGGTCCACCGCAGAGAACTGACTACTAAGTTTAGAACTGAAGTGAAAATAGGATTTGTTTCATGTGGTCATGGCACAGGCAGGGTGACAGCACCAAGTGTTTGAGCGTATGTTCCAAAGACTGCTTGGGTTTGAGTCCCAGTTTGTTTTGCTCCACGTTTTTTTCTTTAACTTAATGTAGAATGTTCTCCTTTACAACAGGGGATCGTTCACTAATTTAAAGAGCTACTGGTAAAATTTATTGAGGTTATTTAAATCATCTCGGGTGGTGCTGGTGTAGAACATCAGTAATCCTCTTCTTTTTCTCCTGTTCTCTCTGCTCTCTACCCCGTGACTATTTTCCAGTCAATGCGGTTAAATTTGGGAGAATTATGTATCTTCTCTAATTATCATCTAGCACTTTCAGGCTCTTATCTGGCTGAGTTCTTTATTAGCGCTATATACTAGTAGAAAATTAATTCATTCCAGTGTTTTTCCTGCTATAGTTATCTGAGCATGTAACTACGAGAGGTACAAATATAAGCTGTAAATGTGGCTATAGAGAAAAGGATGGATTGGAGGAATGGACCAGACAGAAGTGAGGAAGAATAGAGCAGTGAAGGAGAAAATCAGTTAGGACAGTGTATCTACATCTAGTATTGAATACCTGAGCGTTGACCAGTTTGTTAACCCTTTGAGACATTTTTTTGTCTAGAGGTCAAGACATGCAAAGAAGCCTAAATCTGAAGGATTAAGTCCCTTTACTCTTTCTAGTCCAAACAACACATTCCTTCACATACTTGGTCTTGTAACCACAAGCTGAGTATCTGGGAAAGCACATCCCTGCTGAGTTACGCTTTCAGATAAAATGTGAGGAAGTTGTACTTCTGGCCATACAGTGAAATTCCTCTTTCAGCACCTCTTCAAGAATCTAGTAACTATTTTAAATTGCTTTCTAATTCTTTTTTGGATTTTGAATTTAGATTCTTTTACAATGTGTTTACCTGTTAAGACTAGACAAGAGGTGGTGTGGCTTTATTTGGGTTGTTCTTTTGATTAAATGTGGGTCCTCAAATGCCAGGTTTATAATCTAGGGACCACCGAACGCTCTGCTGAGGAATTGGGAAATGTACTGGTAGGGCATCTTTTTGGAGAAGCAATGTCCTCAGACAAAGGTAATTGATAGTTTCCATGAATTCAGCATTTCTCAAATACTAACACTGTCTTTATAACTAACACTTTAAGATATTTGTAAGTATTCAAGGTAGACAGTTATAAGTTTAGATGCACTTGTAAAAGCATCCAGCAGAAACAAAAACGTCTTTGCTTCTCTACACTTGTTCTTTTAAAATAATCCTCATTGGAGCACCATGCATATTAATTAAGTTCCCAGCCCAGCATGAGGCGAAGGATGTGAAGTCTATTTTAATTTTTTAAAATTATTACTACAGAAATGTTCATAGCCCTCTATAATCATATTTCAAAATTATAACCTATCCTTTTGTGTGGAGATGGTAATCTGCTTTAATTTGGAAACCACACATATTAAAATAGGCCCTTAGCAGCATGCTTTCAATAATTACACTTTAATAGGGCAATTATTTTCTACAATGCCACAGGTTGAGCCTAATGCTGCTTCGATCCAAGAATAAAGTTATTAAATTTGTTTGACAAAAAAACAAGGAGATTTCCCCCCCGCCAAAGGATTAGAAATGTTAGGAGTTGCCAAGGGATAGATAGTATAAAATACAGAGTTTTGAATTATATAAATTCACCACTTATTGTAAAAGCAGTTAATACAGGTCACTTTAGAGTTTCCCCTGATTATTTCAATTTATTTATTGCCAACTTTAAAAAATAAAGCCCTGGTCTGATGTCTGATGTTTGGAGACATAATTATTACACCCAATTTTATTATTAACCTGGTGTGTAAGGTTGGTGTATTTGGGTCTCAGTTTACATATATTTGTAAAAAAGAAGATCAAGTTGTAATAGAATATTTTTGCTTTGGCCTTATTTTTCTGTTAAGTTCTCCATAAGCACCTGCAGTTATGTTATGCACTTGAAGGGAAGGCAAGATTTATACCAGGAATTTTGATCCAATGAATGAGAAGATTTTAAGGCCTGCCCCTTCACTCCTTCACTTTCTGCCAACACAGTTCAACAGACTACAAAATAAATTCAAGATTAAAAATAATGATTTTCAAAAACACTTTAAATTCACTTGGAAATTAAAAAGTAGTTGCATGCTTTAAATGTTTTTATAAGACTTTTGGAAGCTGGAACCCTATTATATCCCATGAATTAAACATTGAGGGATACTTCTGAATATTATTCACAAAATTGTTACTGATATTTTTTTCCCACACTTTTGGAGGACATACCAACAATAGCTCTACTGGTCTTTATCTTACAGAATTTACAGGGTCTTTTGTTTGAGGTATTTGGGTACTTGATAATTATAAGATTGAGGCTTTCTAATTCCTTTTCCTATGTTTATGAAGGAAATTTTGTTTAAAAGAAAATAATAAATCTGTAATAAGGTTTATATTTTTGAAAATATTTTAATTATTGTGTTTCTTAAATAACATTCTTTTTGCACATCACTCATTCATTAAGTTGAGGTCATTCATTCCTTGAAGGACAAATTGTATTCTATCTAGAGTACTGGCCCCATAGTAATATTATTTTGTATAAAAATATTTATTTTGTATGTCATCTGAAACAAAAGGTGAGAATATACATTCATAGAAATTGATACAAAGATGGGGTGACCTAAGGCCTTCTTATTTATTAGTGTTTACTATTTAAAAAATGGAGGAGACACTTTAACAGCTGGCCTTCAGTCTAGCCCCTAGCAATAGTAAATGCACAATGAATTTTTGTTGAATAAATGAATGAGTTGGTGGATGAATGGATGAAGTAAGGAACAAAATGTACCAACTAAAAGGAAAGCAACAATACTCTTGAGATATTGGGGTTGGAGATGAATAATAAATAGGTCACAGAGCAGCAAAATATCAGTGCCCACTAAATACCGTTTATTGATTACTGGACAATCTCTCGAAATACTAACCGGAAATACTAGGTTGATCTCTTTATGAAATGTGCTTTGCCTTGGTGTACAATTATTCTTTATAGGAATTGATTGAATGTTATGAAAAATACTTGTACATTAAAAGTTATATGGCATATAACTACAGAAAGTTTATTAACAAAACTTCAGGGAGGAATCATACACATAATACAGTACTGTGGAAGATTTAGTTCATTCCATTAAGAATCAGGAAATTTGGGTTCTAGTCCTCGTTATTCAACTATGCTTACAACACTGGGCAAGTCATGGGATCTTTCTGGAACTTGGATTTCTTGTTCCCTGGAGCTCTGGAAGTTCTTTGGTTCAAACTGAAGCAGCTCCACCTTTATGTTTTACAAACTGGGCTCCCAAGTTAGATTTCATCGGAAGAAAGGGAACTCAGGCTAAAAGCCCCTGAAAACACTGGCCGTAATACCCTAGATTTTACTGATTTTAATATTCAGATAATATATTAATTATTTGAGTTTTAACTTCAGGGTGATTTTCAAAAACGTTGACTAAGTGACATAACACTGCAACAAGCCGCTGAAAAAGAGGCAGTGAACCAGCACAAACATGCTGGATATTGGCTCTGCCCCAGGGAGGAGCTGGGTCTTTTAAAGGGAATGAGGCATGACTTCTCTTTCTCTGGGAATCCAGAACGGCTTTCACTATTGCTGCTCAGGGTGCAATCCCAGGAAATCATAATTTAGCTGCCTGTTCAAATAATATCTGCAATTGTACCACACAGCACAGAAAAGATTGAGCTTGCAGTGGTGGGAAAACACAACCCTATTAGTTATGGAACCATGTAAAGAAAACTGTGGAAGTGAGCCCAAATGAAAAGAGGCCCTTTGGAAAATGTAAAGTGCTGGCTTTGTATAAATGAGTGGTGGTACCATATGAAAGGCATGCTTACGTTGCTGTTGTAGAAGCAGTAAATCACCGCAACGAAGAATCCCTAGAAAGAGGAGGAAAGGGAGAATTGAAGTTACTTTTGTGTGCATTACATTGTTCAGCCATGAATAGAAATAGACAATCTGGAGAGGAACATTTTACTATTGGGATAGCAAGTCAAGGCTCGATGGAAAACAATCAGCGCCACTCATATCCAGTGCTTCACCGTAAGAATAGTCTATTAGAACTGTATTTGTCTCAAAATAATTCTATCATTTGGTTAAAAGAGCAGCTCTAGTCAGTCTGGTTAATGTAAGTGCTGCCTTTAACGTGGAGAAATAGAGCAGGATATGCTGACTGGAGTGAATTTGAGAAGAATTTTGTGTACTTAGAATTTTTAAAAACTGAGATCTCATAGAGTTTAGGACAGAAAACTTTTGCAAGCACGAGAGTCACAGTGCATGGTGGTGGGCCTGACCGTGTCCTGTGTCCTCATGGTGAACTAGCACAGTGCCGCACCCGCAGCCAAGTTCACCTCTTCAATAAGGACATGGACTAAATGGCTTCTGAGCTCCTGGTCACTACTCAGACGTTCTCTTGTGTTTATGCTTTAATCATCTATAGAAATGACCAAAGCAATTATTAAATTACTAAAAGTGCCCCTAAGATGTACTCTAGCCCTACTAATTTTGACCTCCAGAAGTAGAAAATAAAATTACTTTGAAATGTAGAATTGAGACAGCAAAGCTCTGGCCTAAGAGCCTGTGGCAGACTCACCTCTGCCTCAGGACCTCCCATGCCCCAGCTTGCTTTCAGAAAACCTCGGACTATGGCTTCAACAGGCCTTTGGAGCTGGGGTAGAGTGAGTGGAAACAGGGCAGCCATGCTTCACTCTTGTATGGCAGACATGGGAAAGCCCCTGAAAGGGCCCACTCCATTCTTTCCCCCAGGGGAGAGACCTGGATACCTTCCCCCGGATGGATTCCCGACATCCCTCTGACAAACAGAGGGTGACGGAGCAAAAGACGTGAATGGCTCTGTGTAAATCCATTGCACTTCACGGCAGAGCTGATTCAATGTGTATTTATGAAAGGAGATTCTGAAAATTACTGACCAGGGAGGATATGCCCCAGTGGGACCAGCTGAGGGCTGGGATTCACGGGAAAGCAGAAGCAACAAAGTGCCTCACAAAACCCATTCTCTTCCCAGTTTTGCCTGGGCCTGTTGGCTAGGAGGCTGTAAATTATGAGATTTTAGAGCATGAGAGTTTAGAACACTAAGCACTTAACAAATGATAACTATAATTACCTGTGAATTTTGGTTAGACTGAGGGAATGTCAGCCACACCCATGCTCAGGGCTCTGCCTGACACTGTGGGGATGGCTAACCTGACAGGTCTCCCGGGGCCCTGACCTCTCTAATTATGGTCTAGGCAGTCAAATGAAGTACATGAAAACCTGATGCCAGTTTAAGAGGGACAGAGCTTCCAGCGTGGGGTCCAGCGGAGGCATTTCTTACTGATACAAACTCCTGCTTCTCTGCTCTGTGTTTTCATGGCCTGAGTGACTATGTTGATAGTAGTCGAGGTTGGGCAACTGCTTGGCATGGGTTATGCCGTTCTTTAGACTCCCCTCAACAAAACAAAACACAGCCCTCAAAATACTGGGGAGGGGAAGGGAAGGTCGAAAAGACTGTGGAGACAGGAGCTCTGTCCTCAGCACTGTGCTATGGTTCTGTCCCTGGACAACTATCTGTCTGCATAGAGGTGTCTCTCCAAACCCATACTCCCCAGTTCCATTCTTCAGTGTTAAGATTCAGGAAATAGGAAAGCTGGCAGTGAGAACGCCTTCTAGATTACATATGGTCAAAAAGGTCCTTCTCATCACAGATGAGCCCCAGGGGACGGGTCATTCTGCATCAGTTAGCTGAGAAAGTCATGGAATAAACAAACACCCCCTGGCTTCCTTACCTGGAAATGAATCAGAGAGTGCATCAGGTAGTCGTAGATCTGGGCAAGCACCTTGTTGTTAGGTCTCCAGGGAAACACGACGAACTGGACTCCCAGCAGGGGCACCAGGAAGAGAGTGGCCTTCACCGCCTTCAGGTACATGTACGAGTCGGGCTGCTGGGCTTCCTTCATCTTCTTCACCAGCACACGGATGATGTTGAGCAGAAAGAAGAAGTTAACCTGCAAAGATATGACGTTATGAATGAGCAGACCATCCAGGTCAGTACCGCTGAAGGACACCTGCTTTCCTCAGTCCTTCACCCAGTGTCGGGGGCCCACCCACACAGGACGCGAGACTGCCTGAAGGGTCGTTCAGTTCGCTCAGCATTGCTGGGACCATGAGCATCAGTATAACCTACACCCTTTCAGACTTGAACGAACATTTCCTTTTCTTTCCCTAAAAATATTTTCCTGTATATATAAATACTTAGGTTTCCTGTATATATAAATACATTAGATTCAACTATAATGAGGGTGTTCCGTTTTTATTTTGATTTTTACTTTTACAAAGGGAAAACATTTTAGACCTTGCTGTCTTTTAGATCTTGCTTTCTTGTCTTTCATTATAAAGATTTTCCCTACAGCAAGGACTACTCAATCTGCAGTAAGAGGAGGACTGAACATCGTATCTGTAAAGTTTATGCAGTGGAGACAGCTAACCCAGCCTTCTTTTTTTTTAAAAAAAAATATCATTTTTAAAGAAAACAACTTTGAAAAGGTATACTGTATGTTCAATTAAAAAAAGATTCTAAGTTTATGTTCAAGAATTTTAGACAACTATATACCCCCAGGCAACAATGACTCCGTACAAGAAAAGAGCATTGTCTTCACCTCAAGAAGTTCTCTGCTGCCTCTCTACAGTCCAGAAGGCCCGCGTGCCGCCCTAAGCAACCATTCATTTCCGTTACCATAGAAATGGGAGTATTACGTTGTATGTACTCTTTTGTGCCTGGCTTTTTCGGTTTAACACACTGTCTGTGAGATTCATCCATGTTGTGTATATTTGCATTCATTTGTTTTTATTGTTGAGTAGTACTCCATTATATGAATATACACATTATTTGTTTTTCATTTTCCTTCTGGTGGAAATAGAATAGTTTTGACAACTTCACTATTGTGAATAAACATGCTGTGAATATTTGTATACAAGTCTTTGTATAGACATGTGTTTTCATTTCTTTTGAAACAGTACCCAGGAGTGGAATTGCCTGTTCATATGGTAAATGTATGTTTAACTTCATAAGAAACTCCCAAACTGTTTTCCAAAGAGATGGCTTTGTTTTATGTTCCCTCCAGCACTACATGAGAATTCCAGTTGCTCTTTGCCGTGCCAGCACTTGGTATGGTTGCTCTTTTTCATATTAGCCATTCTGGTGCAGCACAACTATTTTGGCTGTGAAGATACTTTTCAACCAAAGTGTTTTTAGAATTCAACTGATAATTTAAAAAAAAAGAATGATTCCCTACCTGAAATAAGTGTTACTGCCCAAATAATTTTAAGAAAAGAGACTGTTAGTAATAATCGGATTCTTTTGGGACATTGTAAATATTGAAGACACATGTCAGTGGGTCCTTGTGAGGACAGTTGGGCTAGTAGGTATGTCACTACACAGAAAACAAGCAAAAAAAAAAAAAAAAAAAGAATTTGCATTGGAAAGGCCGGGAAAGTTAGATGAGAGTCCTGATGATAATCCAATTTGTTCAGTTACAAATAGATGCTTCTTTAATGCAGAAGACTATGGTCTGTGACTCAGACTGCTTTTATTTTTTTCACTCTTATTTCAAAAAAACAGTGTGGTTAATGAGAAAATAAATAATACCTAAATATTAAATTTGATGGTTTTGGTGCTGGCTAACACAAAGCAAGTCATGGGTATAAATGAAGAGCTTGGTCATAGATTCAGGCAGTCACCTTCTCCCCCAACCCAACTTCTACTAGTTATGTGATTCTGGGTGAGTTTACTTGAGTTTTGGGGCCTAGTTTTCCTAATGAGTATAATGTCCTGATGATGCATCTACCTTGAAGGGCTGCTGTTAGGAACAGCAGAGCAATGTATGCGACGTGCATGAAATACTTTAAGGAAGTGCATGATCATTGGTGGTTAGGATGATGGCTTATGTATCAAAGATAAAGTGGAAGAGAATTTTGTTTGGCAGAACCCAGGGAAAAAAGTGCAGGGGGACCTTGTGGACTCTCACTTTCTTATCAGCAACACTTTTATCATTCCTCAGTCCCTTACTCCTTAACCTTGGACCAGGAGAATTTAGACATAGCATTGTTAAAAAAAACCAAACCAAACCAACACCATTATATATTTTTGTGGTAGCGTATATAGAAATGAGTTTATATGCTTCCTCAATTTTATTAAATAAAAATAATTTTTTTTACTTGAAGAATCTCAAACTGTTCTTCTTATAATCATTAAAATTAGCTTCATTTAAAAGTTATCATATATGCGCTATACAGAACCATCCCCAAAGAAGTGCCCAGAGATGACACTGTTAATGATGGATTTTAAGAGCAGTTCTCACCACCAGTGCTGCCATGACAGGGCCGTGGATGATGTACAGCAAGTGGGTCTCCGCGCTCAGCCAGCAGCTGAAAAAGGGTGGGGGGTGGGGAACACACATCAATACAAATGCATCTTATTTACGAACATCAGCTAAAAACCATTGCAGCGCTTACTTGTCATTGAAGTACAGTGTCCTGGTAACAGCATGGATAATAGTTGGCACCAGCGGGAACCCTAAAAATGTGAAAAAGCACAAATTACACCTGGCTTCTTGGTCATAAGCTATAACTACATTTGCATGGAAAACGATGGTTTACTTTAAAAAAAAAATAGTGGCGGGGGTAGGCAGAGACAAATGTATTTGAAAAAATAAATTAAAAAAAATAGTGGCAAATTTAACATCTCTGTCAAGATATTTCCCTGATGTTGTTGCACAAATTGTCTTTGGTCAAACCAGGTAAAAATGTTCCTGGTTAGAACATCATGTGCTTTCAGAGAGTCTGGTTAAGAGCAGCCAAATAACTAAAAGCCTCTCGCAAATTACCCGGTGTGGTAGGAACACTGGTACTCTCACTAGGACTACGCCATGTTGTGTCTTGATGATGTGATGAGGATGACCATAGACCAGAAAGCTTTTCACTGTGTGTGACCTGGACTCTCTTAGGGAGGGAAGTTGGGGTCACCTGGAGGGAAGTGACCCGGGACAGCACAGGGAAGTGACTGTTTGCTCCGAAAGCCTTGCTGATGTTTGCAGTATATCTTTTTGGCTTTTTACTTTTCTGTTTATATCATGTGCATTGATCCTGTTCTCTTTCAGTAAGAACACTTCAGAGTAGCTAGTGTAAGTTCTGGTTGCAAAGCCCCTATTATGGCAGCTTAGTATTGACGTCCCTGACTAAACTTGAAGTGCTAGTGAAAACAACTTTGAATTTATAAACAGAATGATGGAGATAGTTACTAGCAATGCATCCTGTCAGAATACATCTTTTTTTCTTTTTTTTAAATAAATTTCATTCTGTGCAGCTAGTCTAGAGAAAAGCTGTGATTTTTATAAGGAAAAAAAAAAGTCCTTTTATCTCAGATGTACCCATGTACCATAGCACCTTGTTTAATTTGGTTGAGAAACTTGTAGAATGAGTTTTTAAATTTTATCAGATTAAGAAATGTGTCTCAGAAGTGAATTAGACCTACACACTTTGATTTTCTGTGAATTACAGGCAAAAAAAGAGAATGGCTGAAAATATTGAGTTTTCCCCAGAGAACAACTTCACCTTCTAGACCCATGAAGCATATAATTCAATAGGACCATCGATTAAATGTTTGACCTGAAAGAATTTTGAGTTTGACCATTTAAACCAAATGTAATTGTAGGGCATTGACAGCAGTTCTTGCATACTATTTCACCACTAGGGTTTAGAGAAATTCTCACTCTACCTCATCATTTTGTAGGAAAGAAAAATGTTTTTGTCAAAAATAACTTTACATCCTTTTTCTTCCATGAAAATGTTCTGAGTATGGCAGATAGATGTTCTTAAATAGTCAAAACAGGTACAAGAAATATACCATAGATTTTATTTCAAAGGAAGCAAGTAAAATAGATCAGGCAGAAACGTGTGTGTGTGTGTGTGTGTGTGTGTGTGTGCTGGCAGGCCTCGGATGGGATGCTATTTGCAGGTCTGCAGCTGGAAGGCATCTGATCAGCACCAATCATCACAATTGTGATGATTGGAATTGCTCTTGGGAGGATTAAATTTTATCCAGTTGAATCTTGGCATGACCAGCTTTGGAAGGTTAGGAATTATTGAGAGGGTATGTGTAAGGTTAAGAAGGGCACGGGAAGGAAAGATCAACCTCTTGGGGAAGGCTGGAGCTAACAGAAAAAAACAATACAAGGACATTTTGGTCTTTGTATTTTGACTTGTTTTGACAGTAGAGAGGAGTAGGAGAACCCAGCACCTGTAGTGGGACCAGTAGATTAGTCAGAAGCTTGATTTCTTAAGGAAACAGGATTCTGGGGTTGCTGCTGCTCTGCAGAGGGGAGTGGCTCATAAGATGAGGTGCTTTGGGGTGTATTCGAGATGGCCATCCAGTTCACAGAGACCCCTCTCCCATTTTACTCCAGTAATATTTGTACTGTGTGACAATGTCCTCTTCAATGTCCTTAGCCACCACTCATTGAACCATGATTGGCCCCTTAACTTCAGTTGGACCAATCAGATTCTCTTGCCCTGCTATTCAGAAATGGTACTTAAAGAGAAGCCTTTAGTTTTTCTGTGTAGTTGGAATAGAAAAATGTGAACTCAGGAAAGTTTGGGGTAGGTTGTATTTACCATTAGGATTAGGGGAGCAGAGACCTGTGATGTATGGTCTTAGAGAATGACAAGGGTTAAAACATGTTCAGAGCAAAGCAGTGGCAAAGACAGGGGGAGAGAGCTCCTGGTTGCCTAGTCCCTTGGTATAAACTTTTGAGCAGCCCAGCTGCATTTTAGCCCTTGACTTCCATGAGATACTTTGATTCTGATGATTTCTCTCTTTTTGCTTAAATTAGAACATCTTGTTCTCTGTCATTTGCAACTAAAGAGTTATAACATCATTTTTAGTTTAATGTTGAAATACCCCAAATATCTGTTCCATTGACCCACCGTTATAGGATTATCTTATCAGGTTTGGGCTGTGTGCTTGGTTAAAATCCATGTATTTCTATTAGGGAGGGGTATTACGAAAACAAATATTGCCTAGGGCCAGCCCTGGGAAAGATTGGGGAAAAGACTTTGAGCTGCTTATATTACTTCCCAGACACATTTCTATACTTCATAACAATGTCTGTTGGGCAGGGGTTTAAATACAAAAGTTGATGTTCTTAGAAAGCTGTTGGATTATTTTCCATTCTCAATACATCCTTTCTCTCATCCATATTTTTAGGAGCTCCCTAAAATGCTACATTTAAAGGTCAGGCTTAGTTGAAGGTACTTTACAGCCTCTGCTCCAAGTGTCACAGTCATCTTGTCACTGGACAGCAAGAATTCTCCTCTGGTATGGGAGTTTCATGGGGTTTTTTGAAAAAATAAAGCAGGATGTGTTTTTGTCCCAGAGCCTTTTCCCTTTCACTGCCTCACTATGTATCTGCCCCCTTTCCCCCAGAGTGAGCTCAGCTGACAGCAGCCCTGGAGGAGAGGAAGCTGTTCTAGAGAGTCATCATGGCCCTTGGAACCCTACCTTAGTCAATCTACAGAAGCAGCCACAGCGTGGGCAATCCAGCCATAAGGCTTTCAAAGCCATTGCCATGTGCTATGGTGTTCGATAGGCTGGCTCCGTTTGGAGGCCCATGTGGTTTTATCTATTGCTCATCTACACTCTACTTCTTGACATTTCATTGGAGGAACACTACTGATGGATGGACAGGAAGGAATGTTCTTGAGGAAGGGATGCGGGGCCAGGGTGGAGGACATACAGAATTCAAAATGTGAAATTCTCCTTTGCTCTACGAACAGATGATGAATAAAACTGAAGGGGGGGTTAATCAGATTTTCTCTGAATGGGGCATGTTTTTTGTCCATCCAATAGCTGAGCTACCGGAAGACTCTCATAGTCATATCCCTCCATCTTCACGCTGCCCCCCGCCCTATGTTCATCGCAGTCTGTATAAACTTGTTAAACGACTTCTACCAAGACTAAACTCCTTCCAGCATGTGTCTCATCATTCCTCAAGGACCTGGGCCCCTGATTGTTCTCTGACACCAAGGCTAGAAGAAGATCACAAATATAAAGACAGAGGTGAAAGAGGCTCAGAACTGTTAGAGGTAATACATACCCCAGCCCAAGAGATAATACCACTTCATGCGTTGTTTCTCAGTGAACACGGCCACCACAATGAGTGAGTGAAGATAGATCCCTTCACAGAGCATCCAGAAATAATTGCACGACATCAAGTAGTGGTTGATAAAATGCAAAACCTTGCAGCTCAGCTGTCAGAAAGAAATGGAGACACTCAGTGCAAGACACGGCCAAGGATGTGACAGTGAACAGAGGATAAATGTGAAAATGAGCTAAAGTATCTGCACTCAGCCTGCGTTCAGCTTCCCCAAGCATCTGTTCACACATGCCACCCTCTGTATCCACAAATCAGAGCGGTAGTGCATAGGTCATTGTACTACATATGAACATCTAGGGGAAAGGAAGCCTAGTCCCTTAAATGTTTTTTTCCTGTTACATTCTGGTGACTTACATAGAATATACAAGTTTACTTTTCTGCAATGAATCTGAGACCCATAATTTTTTACAACAACCAAGGATTTGTCACATGACTTTTATAGCCCCTTTTCTATGGCCAATGAGGAGAATAACCCAGACATTTGTTAATCCTGCTCCTGAAGGTCATTGATTTTTGATGATATCTCCTTAGTGTCAAAGAGGAGATAACCAGGTGGTAAATTTGTTACACATGATCCAGGAGCTTTGCTGAACTGAACTGGCGACCCCTGTTTTGGTTACTTGCTGGCCTTCTAGCGCTGACAACCCTAACCATCAAAAAGCACAAGCTTCCCACTTGAATAGAGCCACAGTGCAATGGGGAACATCCTGACTGATTCACATGTATACTGAAATCTCATGAGGAGGCCTTGTAGAGCTTTATGTCAAGATGTTAGTGCAGTTGATAAGCTAAGGGGCAAAAAGGCTCTCCTGTCAACTTGAAAACTGTCCACTTGTACATTCTTTAAAGCTGCTGAATGAAGGAGGAAAATCCCTGAGCCAGAAAGTCAGCAGTAACTAATTTTGTAGGGAACTACTCAAGTGTCTCCAGAGGAATCTACAGGTATAACATTTTCAATTAAATTGAATCTGTCATGCAATCCCGAGCTGATTTCTGATAAAGCCTTAGAGAAAATGAGCTTGAATCTGTGGAACTCTGTCATGATTTGGTGTGTTCGGGGTGAGGTAGGGGGAAGCACTGGAGAAAAGAGTCCCAGATGAGATAAGTACGTTGGAAGATGATCCAGAAACTGGCAAAGGAAGCATTCTGGAAATATTCAGCAAACAAAACTAACATAAGCCAAGAAGGATGGAAACAAGTCTGTTAGTAATGCAGTGGGGAAATAAAAATTAACAGCTTGCTACAGTCAAGGGTCTTTCTCTATATGGTGTAATAAGCATATTATATCACTCTTCTCTGGGAATTTGTAAGCTATGACTGATTTAGTTTTATATTATCAGACCACAACCTTTTTGATTACTTGTGATTTACAAACCTCTGAATATTATCTGCTTTTACACTTAGTCCCCTTTGGATTGAAGCAATACTTTACAAATACTCTGAGTTTCCAAATCTATGTTGTATAACACAGAAATGAAACCAGGTGTCACAGTTAGGAAATGACAAGGACTTAAGGCCTAATGACAATGGTAACAACTATGATATAAATAATAATGGTTAACAGTTGAGAGCTGTTCCGCACCAAACCCTGTTTTGTGGATTCGAGGTGTATCAGTTTATTTAATCCTCACAAAGGAATCTGTGAGGAAGGTGCTATTATTATATCTACTTCACACATTAGGAAAATGAGGCACAATGAGGTTAAGTAACTTGCTCATCTTTACAGAATAAACTGTAAGGAAGTAGAAGAGCTGGGACTTGAGATCCTATAGCTCAGCAAGAACAACACTACAGTAGTTGGAGCAATCCAGCAAAGCACAGCAAATATCAACTTGACTGTTGCTCCGTAGCTCGTTCTGGCAATGAACCAACACACCCCAAAGGAGTTACAAAACTCCTTGTATATCAACTGGAAGCTTTTTGAGAATGAAAACAAATTTATGAGAATTTCTGCACTGAATTCACGACAGCCTTTCAAAGCAGGGAAACTAGCAGCAAATGTTGAGATGAACACTTGCCACGTAAACCGCACCGCAAGATAGCACTTGTAAGCCACTGCGCTCCTGCGGAGAAGCACCGCCCAGAGTGACCAGATAAGGCCAACTGGAAATCGGGTCAATGTCTGCAGCCCTTTTAGAAATAGAGTCTTCAAATCCATGTAGGAAAGTGGTCAATTTTAAGTAATAACATTTTTTAAAAATACAGAAATCCTCTGCTTTTTTTTTTACACCATAGAATCTTGGTTGAAATACCATTTATTGGTTTTGACATGTAAATAATGTGAAGTAGCATCAACAACCAGAGTGGGATGATACTTCATCCCATGCCCACATTCCGTCATTGTGCTCTCTGCATTGTTCCTCAAATCCATCTTTTTCATTCCCAATCTAATTCCTTCCACAGGCTACCAAATGGAAAATTGCAGTCTAGTTCTACCACCATCGACCTCCCGCCTCAACAACACTGCTGTCCCTGTCCTCTCCCTATGCTCCCCCTGCGCCTGCCTCTTCTGGGTTGGGCAGGAGGAATCCACTCTCCACGCTGGGTTTCATGGCTCTCTCGTGCCTCAGTCCTGAGCGTCCATTCTGAGCTGAACTTCCTGCAACTGAGATGACATTCTGACATAGTTTGGTGGCTCAAGTGTCCTGAATGAATGAGAATTAGGGGAAATGCACTTTGTTTTTCAGATCCTGGGACTCATTTGACTTTACTTATGCAGGAGAGTATAGAAAATGTGACGTGATTGTTTTGTCTTTTGAGGTGCAAAGTGCTCAGATTCTCAGTGAAAACTAATAATCTCCCTGTACTGTCCCTTTCAGACCCAGATAAAAAGTTCAGAGAGACATTTCTTTCCAGAAAAATGACAAGTGTGTCGCCAGCTTCCTTTAGATGCAGCAAGAACAATACTTTTAATTCTGCCTCCTGACTCTCTACATGAAGAAATAAGCAGATAGATAAAAAAATAAAATAAAATTTTAGATAGTATGGAAATGAAAGGCTCTGATGACATAAATGACAATGGGCAATTTTCACATCACTCAATAAACTTAGGGTCTATTCAGCCCATATTTATGCCGTGAGTTATTCTGAGTTTACCTTTATAAGAAAGAATGTAAAGGAATAAGATTCTCACACTTGATTTTACAGAAGAGAATCTGCTTAACCAAAAAAGTTTCCAAGGGAAGAAACTGACAACCTTGGTGGGAAAGGAACCACAAACCCATAGGGATTCTTCATTGAGGAGTGGGAACACTGTTTTATTTTGCCTCCAACAAAATAAACTCTAATTGAAGTATGAGACAACGTTTGGGATGATGTTCTCCTCTTTTGTAAGGAATAACATTCTTTTTAAAATATATTCCCAGGGGCACTGGAAAGGAATAACTTTTTGCCTCTTGACTGCTGATTTAGTGACCTGAGAATTGGGTCAAAATGAAAAAAAATAACCCACAACTCTATCTTTAATTTGCTTAGGAGAGAAAGTGTCTTTAAAAATTATATATTCTGGTTTTTTTTTAAGTAGACAAATGCCTGAATCACAGATAGATGAATTGCTAATAGGCATGCTTTTCTTTAATTGATGACTGTGGTTACTTTTTTTTTGTTAGTTTCAATTCCAATTAATATCTGTAGACTGACAATGTCCAGTAACTTCCCTTTCTAAAAAGTGTTTGCGCTTTTCTTTTTGGTCTCTTTTTCTGTTTTCCATTGTTTTTCTTGGCTATGGAGAACCTTAACCTAATGTTATCTGAAATAACAGTTTTTCAAGAAAAATGCAATATTTCAAACAATTCACTTAAAGTACAAATTTTAAATATGTAATTTTGCATGCCACTTAGTAACACATGGATGCCATGATTATTATTGTTTGGATGCCATTTTGTCTTTTTAGAGGTAGAAAACTTCTAGGAAAGGTGGAGTTTTCCTAGCTAAGGCTTCGCTAGTTCTTGTTTATCTCCTGTATATTCAAATATATTAGAACAAGAAAGGCTTCTTCTTTCTTGATGCTTGAATTTATAATTTCAACTGCAATTCACTTTAACAATCTTTTGAATGGGAAAATATACTCAACAAATTGGGCTTCTATGAACACAGTTATAGCAGAATATTCGTTTTAAGGTGAGACATAACATAAATTTTAAGACTTGTGTCCCCTTTGGAAATAATAAATAAGGAGTTTCAAGAATATAAGCATACAAGACATGTCTAATTGACAGTTATTTTGTTTGCCCAGAGAGACTAGTCCTGTAAATGAAATACAGGACTAGTCTCTGTATATGGAGGGTTAGATAGCAGTTTAATGAAATTCATTGGAAAACGACGACTGTGTTCAAAGAGAGAAAGTACTAAAAACAAGTGACCATTTTTTCCCCCATTGGGTCAAGTATGTGCTTCACAATTCACAAATGTGAATTAATGTCTGTCATTGTAGTAATTTGGTTTTTTTTTTAGCTTAGACTACTTATATGTATTTGTTGAGAGGCGCATGTTTCCCCGTTCTGTCCTATGGAGGAAACAGATGTTTGGAAAGGTAAAAGGGGCCACCATGCATTTGCATGTATGACATTCCCATTTACCAGTGTAACTGGCTTGTCATTGGGAGCTTGCTCTCATTTCATCTGTTCTCAGAGGAAAGGAGACTGATCTTTCAGGCATACAGACTTTTTGCTCTTTTGTTTTCCGTTAAACATACACACATACTTTGAAATCGGTAAACAAATGACTGAACCCCATGTTCATGGTTGCCTGGTACATTCCTAGTCATAAATAGATATTTTGACAAAATGATATGAACTTAATTCATCCTGAAGACAAAAATTTAAGTGCCGGGTGCTGAAAAACCTCTCGATTGATTGGATTAAGTTTTACCTTTCAAGTATTTTACAGTTCTTTCCTTTTCTCTAGGAAGTTTGCTTTTGCATAGCTAAAAGGAACAAGTCTTTTGGCTTCATAATATCTTGATTTGAGAGAATCAAGAGCTAGTCATGTCATAAAGATAAACTGTCCTGATTTTCAAACTTAAGTCGCTTTGAGGATGCCTACTGTGTGCGGAAGAGCCACCCACTCCTCCACACCCGGAAGAAAACCTCCTGTGCATTTCTTTGGCTCCCCTATCCTCACACTTCACATTTCCCTAGGAAATCAGCTGCACAGTGGCTGAGCCACGTCCCTAGGCACCTGCTTACTGGGTGTAAAGGTTTCTAGGCAATAGGAAGGCTGCAAGGAAGAGCCTGCTGGCTTGCCGGTGGCTTGGAGGCAGCCTGAATGCAGTGACTGGTGGAGTACATAGGCATGTCTGCCCCTGAAGTGTCCTAGGAAAGTGGAAATAGCCAGCAAGGATAACTCAGGAGACCATTAAGAGCAATGACTACAGCGATAGATTGGTTGGGAAAGCCTGTGCAGAGGCCTGTGCAGAGACCCAAGGCGTTAGCGACAGGGCAAGGGGTCGCAGCAACTTTGTGAGCGATTGCTTACAATATTACACCCTGAGGAATTTTTAAAAGCTCTCCCCTTTTTTTTTTTTTTGGAACTACAAGACAATCTCTTGGGAAAAAGCAGGGCAGAATTTATTATTTGCATTTGATGGATAAGGTTAAATGACTCCTGTAATTCGATGGCAGACTCAGAAAAATCCTGAACTTAGGCTATTTGAGGAAGATAACAGGTTTAGCATGATTTCATGATAGATGAGAAGCCCCCTTCACCCAAACAGCCAGGACTGGGCTGGTGGTATGACATGTGGGTGTGAGACCCCACAAGAGAGATAAGTGTCTCTTCAAGAATTTATGAAAGTTCATAATTGGATGGAGCACTGCTCCCAGGGGTGATTATTTAATGATTGAGTTGCCGTTTCCTGGCCTGCTTTGTGCAGACAATAAATAACTTTCTCAGGGTTTTGCTTCTTAATGAGAAATGGGAAGCCAAAAATTTGAGATTATCCTGTTGAGAGATGCTTAGTTAATTGCTTCTACACCTATTTTAAACTTAATGGGGTCAACTTCCCTAATTAAATGTGGTGTCCATGTCCAGTTATGGACAGCCATTACTTTGGAACGGCTGAGCCCATTACTTTAAGAATACCTCTTCCTAAGGCAATAAACAAGACAACCAAAAGCACCATGCAGGATAGAGGAGAGAGGATGTGCTTCTGTGTGAGACAGGTCTGGGTCGAATCCCATCTCTAACAACCCACAATGCAGAAGGCACGAGCCTTCACTGTGCCTCAGTTTACTCAGCTAATAATGGAGATAATACCAACCCCTCACAGGGGTCTTATGGGAATTAAATGAAATGAGATTACTTTTATTTAAATTAGTTGACATTAAAAAAAGAAAACTCATCAAGATAAACCCACTGGATCTCATTCTACAGGTAACATAGGACTTCGTCTCAGATAACAGATGGCATGGTTTTAGGTGACAGATCACAATGCCTTTTTGGATATATTCACACGGCAGAAAATTATGAACACCATGGGTCCATCAGAAGCCAAACTGAGCTGCTTTCCCACGCCATGCCACTGTCACACAGGATGCACGCTCTGGGCAGATTTCACGCATTTTTGTCATTGGGTTGGCAGGGCTGTCAAATGCCAGTTTTGAAAGATGAGGCTATCTACAGATGCTCCCATAGCACAGCGAAGCAAAGAAACAAAAACGCAAACATCCCTCGGCCATTCGCTCTGCGCTAGATAGCTTCTGTCTGTGCTTTGAAATGTCCTTGCCATCCTGCTCCCACCCCCGGGCACAGAGAAACCCATCTGAACGGCCTGCCAGGGCTTCCTTGCCCTCTGGTTTCGGGTTGAGTTTAGTTAATGGGGACCATCGGCAGAGATGAGAGAAGAGAGTGAGTGAACTCGGGGTAATTCAACCTTTTTCAAACTATGCAGACATAGGTTCTGATTAATACGTGGATGGCTTACTAGAGTCAAGGCATAGTTATTCATAGCTGAAGTGACTGGCCCAAGCCCAACCGGAATGCTGAGGGGATTAATGTTTGGGCACATTTGTGACCCATTAAGTGACACACTGGGAACTCATTGCCCTCGTACACCCAAAATTGTCTATGTTCACAAAGTGTGCTCAGTGAACTTCCCATAGATGTTAATACATTGTCAATTAGCAGTAAAAACTCATAATTTGTTGTGTAATTCTTATGTGGTTATGACTGAATTATTCCCAGCCCTTTACTATAGCATATAACAATTAGTTCTAATAACTACATAGAAATAAAAGATATGCCTCGCTTCATGCAAAACTGAACTGTAAAACTGAATGATTGCATATGTAAAAAAAACTGCTTAAATCAAACACCATATTCACTATTTATGAATACTACATCTTTAAAGATAAAATTAAAAATAAATAAGGCAGTGCTCACCGGATCCATGTTCACAAATTCTTCATTGGGCACCACTTGAATCAGGTGGATGAGAACAGTAATGGAGTTCAGAATGTAAGTCAGAAACATGTGCTTATGTATAGTTACCCGCTGGCAGCTGAGGCTCCTGGAAGTAAAAGTAACAGCATTAACCAGTGCCGCAATGTTGAAGTACCTGGGGAAAAAACATTTTGGCAATATTTTTAATATTACCTTCCACAATAGTTGAGAGAACATATTGAAAAGTGAGGCTTGTCCCATCTGTAAGACTTATTGTATTTTTCTGTCTGATTTTTAAAAACAGTTATCTAGTCATGGTACCTCATAGTTTTCAGTCCTCAGGTGACTTTGTGCGACACGTGAAGGAGTGCATGATAAAAATCACTTTTAATTATAACAAATGTGAAATTGAGAAGAGAACTCTTACAAGAGAAATCATTACAGTCTGGCGTGTGCTTCCAATAAAAGGTTGGCTCTTTATTGTTGTAACTAGGTAGACATTGTGTGGCAAACTGGCTAACACAGCATGAAGTCCGAACCAAGGTGGCCTGTGACAAAGTCCCGAATCCATGTCCTTGACCCAGTGTACCGCCAGGCTTTATTAAGTCTCCTGTCACCCCTCTTCTCTGACATTTCTTCTAACAGCTTTTCATTTATCACATCCCAACTGGAATCAACTTTGTGGTTCTTACTTTCCTCATCCTCCTGATGGTGGAGCTCAGACACAGGCAAAGGATTTTAAATGCTCTCAAAGTTGATCTCATTAGGAGGCATGTTGTGGTTTGGATCTGACAGTAACTATCCTGGTTGGTGTAGCCATTCCCCACGTTTTGGGGGTTAAGCAATTTGTCGGAATTTTTTTTTATTCCTCTGTCCTCTACTTCATAAGCTTGTAATATGTATTTGTGTGAATGCTCATTAGCATAAGTAGCCTATTTCACAATTTGATGCAAATGAAGAAAGCCTGTAGAATGGCTTTAACGAAATTGGAACAATTCTCTTAGATAAATAAAAATCTTGTATTTACCATATTTGATCCAGTTAACAAATGCTTAGCATCATGTAAAAACTTAAGGCACCTAGTTAACGATGCTAAAGATTAATCATAGTAACTATCCCTAAAAAATTTTCATGGAATAAAGTTAGAATCTTAGGAATTTTGAAAAGAAAATTCTGAGGAGAGATGAACTATGAGAATGCTTTAGGTTTACTTACAATGCTTTTCCTGTTTCCAAATCAAAGTAAAATGAGTTGTTAATTATCTGTAGTAAAGAATAGTTTAAGTAATGAGGGCATGTGTTAGAATCTATTTTTAATTACTGTAGCTCCATTTTTCAACTTTTCAGGAACTACACACAAGTATCAGTAAATAGCTAATACAAAATATTTTAAAATTTGCAATTTGTTGATCAGGGGTAAAATGCAGAATGGGGTTTAGAGAACTTTCTCTCTCTCTCTCTCTCTTACATACACACACACACACACACAACCATGTACTACTTTATTTAGCAGCAGAAAAGCCTGTTAAATAAACTGAATCTAATTAATTTTATACTAGTGCTATGAAAGTAGGTTGCAAATTTAAGGATCTAAAAAGAAAAAAATTGTTTATGTAAAAGATCATACCCATTTATACTGCATAAACCCTTCCCTATTGCACTGTTAAACCTGTGACCTGCCATTTTCCAGGCGGTCATAACAGCATTTATAATTCTTCTCAATGGGAGGCAAATACCTGAGGTCTCATTATTGGATTCAGCCTGGCTTAAACCTATTACAACTGACATTATCCAGCACTAAGGAGTGTGGATGAATGCATCACACAGTGCTGCTATTCTCATGCCTGCTTTTCTTTGACCAGGCAGAATTCAATAATCTGTTGATCTCCAGCACTAACTTAGAGGACTGGTTACTGTTTAACCTCCTGTGTAAGCCAGAGTCACCCTGAATAAAACCCTCTTCCTCCACCTCTAGCTTACTCTCAGGCCCTTGTATCCCTGCTTTACTTTTCTTCTCCCCTCCTGACACATATGTTTGTTTATTGCCTGTTATCTTCCCCTTCTCTCTCATTAGAATGAGTGCTTTGTGCATCTAAAATAGTGTCTGATATATTTTAGGGTTTAATGGTCATTTTTTGAATTAAAAAATACGAGAGTAATTTTCTTCTTTGAATTGTGACCACACTAAACAGTTTTCCAGTACATCAGAGAATTATATTCAAAGTAGATGATCCCATGTCTTACACTTTGTATCATACTGAACATTTGCCAAATTCTTAACATAGGTATTAACTGATAGTGGACATTATCCTATTAGCTCAAACCTACGTACAGTACTGTGTTACGTACATAGTGAGAAAGTGATGATTTAAAACTGGATAAACTATTAGGCTTCCAAGGAACAATATGACTAATATATAATATGAGTTTCTGTTTCTCAAAGGTTCCAATATAATTTCTGCTAATTAAGCTTTAAAAATTTTATTATACTTGATGACATTTACACTGAGCTTTTTGAAATGAGTTAAAGGGATTTTAAATTTATTAAAATTCATTCAATAATCCAACACATATTACTGTGTACTTACTATAATTTAGACCTTCTGGAAGGGGCGAGGGATATGTAGGTTAACAAAACAGACAGCTTCTGCTTTTAGGGACCTTATATACTATGTAATTGTTTATTTCCTCTTAGTATGATGATAACTGTTCTGAAGGAAAGGTATGGACGCTGAAGAGGATTAGCTGAATGTAATGAGAGTAATTCCATGTGTAATTGTTCTTAAAGTAAATTCTTGTTGCTTGAATGAACATGAGAAAAGCTGACAGTTTTTGTGTCAGATAGGAAATGTCTTTAAATAGAAATAGCACAAACCTGATGTTAGCTATGATTCATTTGCTAAAAAAATAGGTGTTTAGATGGACGGAACACTACTTACTCTTTGAGTGACGAGGAACCATAAGCACTAAAGAGTCTTGAACAGTGGGAGGATAAGGCAACATAATCTACTTCTGTCTTGGCCCAATCAAGGTGTCAGTCACAGGTGAAGAAGAGATAATGATCCGCTTGCATGGGAATCTCAAGATGTCATATTTTACGACTAAAATGTAATGTCACTGTCATGGTTTTAGTTTACCTGGTACAGATCTTTCACACTAAAAATTTTGTTTAAAGTTATCATTACACTGTGTATTATGTGTATGCTTTCTGAGAGCTTTTAATCTCAGAGAGAACATTTAACTGTTGCCTTAAGTTTTGCAGATTGCATAAATCAGTTTGATATCATAAATTTAGGAGGACTCGGACAGGGTTATTCCTTTTTATAGGCTCTATTAGGCACGTGTTGTGACTTTCGAGTGAGATTTCAATGGGATGGCCATGAACAGGGCGTTGGGTATCAGAAGAGCTGGGTGTAACTTCTCATTTTGCTTACGTGAAAGTTTTATAAAATTGATTGTTTGGGTTTCACAAAATAACCCAGCCTTGGGAATGTGGAATTATACAAGGGAGTGATGATTGGTTTTTTTTTGCTCAGGTTTCACACAGATGATGCCATTTAAGTGCCTGAGTCATAAAACTTTCCAGTGTAATGTGCAGTAAAGACCATTAGGGTGATGTTGAGTGTTTGAAAATTTTGGGAAAATACTGCTAATTGAAAGAGAAAATACAGTGATAGTTCACAATTACCTTTCATTTTTCACAATCACTTATAATACTTCTGAAATGCAAATGTAAGGAAAAATGTGAAGAATTAGAAACACACTTTAATCTTAAGAAAATGGTGCCCTTGATATTTTTGGTTTGGGTAGGTTTAAGATAAGGTTAAGAACACGTATAAAAATCTGATATAACTTCTTTTGGATCTGAACATTTAGCATCATAGCATGTGTGTTTTTCATAATCTATTCGTTTCTTTTGTGTGCTCTGGAGAACCAGCTATTTCATGTCTTGTCATTATTATATTCAGATTACAAATCAAGAAGACTTGTTTGTCCTACCAAGATTTAAGTTGTTTGGTAGGTTCTTGGAATTCAGACAATGGAATAAAATCAGGTGGTTCCTAGACAATCTGCCCCCCAATTTGATCTTAAGGGTTTGACCAGATTGATTCTGTTTTGGGACTAACTGAAGTTGAGAAATGTTTTACTTTGTCCATGTGCCGCACTTTTAAACACCCATTTTCACTGGCTAAATATAGAAATGATTGTTAGACCATTATTTATTGCTGGTTTGGCTCTCACACCACATCACTTATTTAAGTGGCAACAGAAATAAGGACCTAAGAAATGCCTCCTTGACATTTTTAATCTTTGGAGTCCTGAATATATTTATTGTTTGCACCATTATAAATTTGGGTGCTTTTTCTTTAAGTTTTCTTTTGGTCAGGTAAAAAAATTTTTAACCAATAGACTTTCAGTGACAGATTTTTAAATCAAAGTTGTATGAGAGCCATGATAAATTTATTTACTGTGGTTAAGTGCAGTGGAAAAATGAACAGCTATTCCAAGATTAATCATGCTGTGTGTTTACTTTGCTGAATTCTGATCATTGTAATTGAAGACTCTTTTATTGTAATTTTAGTAATTAATCCCTCATGTCTTGTTGCTTTGTTTATGTCTTTCTCCTGTTACACTATGTATGGAAGGAGCTCATTCTCTGTTATTATTTGCTATTCAGTTAACAAAAAGTTGCTATTCAGTAATATTGCTAGATTAATAGAAGCATCCTGACTGTATAAGATATAGACATAATATAATACACAATTATGATATGAAATATAGACAAAGATTTAAAAAGAATAAAAAATAATAGCAGTGTTAAGAGTGGGTTTACAGGTGCTTCTCCTCTTGGTTTAATTTTCTTCAGTATCATCATATTTTAACAAAAATCAAATTAAGATTCTGCTTATGAATCACTGTATATTTAGTTACATATCACACCTCTAAAGTATGGAGGATTATTTGTAGTTTGGACTACAAGGAGCTTTCTTCATCAGTCTTCATCTTCTGGAAATATAGCCTCCTGTAATACAGGTTTACCCTCTTAGGTGAGTGTTCTAGGAACCCATCTGCATCAGTGCACCAGCTGGTGTTGTTGTGAGAGGCTGTGTTCAGCTTCAGTGAATTTTTTTTTGAAGACTCAATGCGTTTGCCCATTTCATTATGGGTGATTTACAAGTGCACCTGACCATACTGTGCTGAGTGTTCAGCAGTTTTTGACCAAAGACCTCATGACCCCCATGCCCCACCCTCCCTATTCACCTGATCTTGCCCCAAGTGACTTTGTTTGTTTGTTTGTTTCCCTGGTTTAAAAAACCCTCATGTTTGTTAACATGGAATAGGTGAAATAAAAAATGTCAGAAGTATGAAAAGGCATTAAAATCAATGAGTTCAAACTCTTTTGAGCAGTGGAAAAAAGTCTTGATAGATGTATTGCATCAAATGGAGAGTACTTTGAAGGTGACTAAAGTTTAAACATGTAGGAATAAATACACAATTTTTTATAAATGAATTCTGGCCTTTTGGCATCTCCCCCCTGTAATTGCACCACAACTAAATCAGTGGAAGGAGGCCCCATGGTAATGGAGAAGTCAGAAGTATCATGAAAAGGTAATGGAGTACCTCCTGCCTTTGATTTAAAGAAATCACACTAAGTTTAAGACATTATTTTAGGACCAAATTTAACACATATTATTATCTCACGTACATTATAAAGTCATTCCTGAAAATACAGAATCAATGTTTTAATTTCTCCATTATTGTAAAAGCAGTATCTATATCAACTCAATCATTTTGCCACAGATAGCACAATTAAGGGTATAGGCACAGAGTTAGAATAGAAGCCCTCATTGAAATTTTATTCCTCATGCTGTCTTAAAAGATGTTTGCAGTAAACAATGCTAGGTTTGTAAGGACAAAAAATGACTCCTGACAACAGCCATCTTCTTCCAGAGATTCTCCTTGACCCTGGCTGGGTGAATCAAGGCCAGAAGGGAGGAGACTTACCCTCCTTCTCTGGGTACAAATGCTATCATAGCCCCCCAAGGCCCACTCCTCTTCTGGCCAAATCCGTTTGTGATGCAACACAAAATCAGGCAGGGTGCAATTAAACTTGTGGCCATGGCCTCCTTATTTTTGAGTGGGGGTAGAAGAAGGAGGGGATCCTCTCCTCAGTACTTCATGGAAACTTAGCCATGGTAATGGGACCTTTACCTTGTTAACACAGTGTACATAAGGGACTGTTTGATTTTGTGAAGGAGGCATATTGTCTTGAAAGAGTGTATGAATCTATCTTATTGTCCTCAAAGGTAGGGTTCAAAGCATATTTTAATAATATTACTTTTTTTGCTACTTCATGACTCCTATATCTATTATGATTTGCAGGAAACCCTCCCCTCCCTTGCCTTTTACAAAGTTTCCCTTTTATTTCAGTAACATAAAGAACACAAAAAGCAGAGGCTATGAGGGTACTTACTTGAAACACATGAAAATTCCCAGCGAAACTGTCAAGGTGGTAAGAGAAGCAGAGTGTCCCACAATAGCCAGGTAGTACAGAATGTATGCATTCTGGAATAATGACAGCAACAACAGAAACAGTCACAAAAACAAATGGGTGAATAAATGATTATAGAAGAGGGAAGCAGTTTCCCTCCTTTAAAAAGGCTACTAAAATTACAACATGTATTTCAGAGAATTACATTATATGAAATTATAATAAACTGATGAACAGATTGAATATTATAAGATTAAGAATGTGCATGACATTGTGGGAAGAACACAGGACTGGATTTATCAGAGCTGTTCTCTACTCAGAATAGTATCATTAAGTCTTTGTGTGGCTTTCATAAAGTCAGTCGCTTCACCTCTCCAGACCTCAGTAGTCCTCACCTGTAAAGTCATTTGGTTGGGCTAGATGATTTTTAAAGCAGTTATGTGCTACTTATCAGAAATGCCACTAAATACTGGGATACAGAAATACTGAATGTAGAAGAATGGGAAAAGATGACCCAGGTTAACGCTAACCATAAGAAAACTGGTGTAGTATCATATAGGTGCAGATGTTAAGTCAGGAAGATACAACAATTTTAAATTTCTATGCATTAATAATATAAACTCAAACCAAATGAAGCATAAAGGAAAAATTGACACCTCCTAGTAACTGATAGAGTATACAGACAGCAATTAAGCTATAGAAGATGTGAACAATGCGATTAACAAATTTTTCTAATTCACATACAATAAACATATACCCAACATCTGCTGAATACCCATTCTTTTCAAGTGCTGACTCAATAGTCAAAGAATATTTATCCAAGATGACATACACTAGTCAGTCTAACAAAACTCAACACATTTCAAATAACTGAACTCTTAAAGATCATTTTTACTGACCACAATAGTTTAGAAATCACAAATGAAAAGATAACCTAAAAAACACTCTCATATTGTTGAGAATTAAATAATAAGTTTCTAAATGACTATTGGATCAAAGAAGAACTCACAATGGCATACCAAAACTTTTTAGATACAGGTGAAGCAGTACAGAGAGGGAAGTTTAAAGACTAAAAAACATATGTTAAAAATGAAGAAGGTTCAAAATCAATTATCTAAATTTCCAGCTATAGGAGTTATACAAAAATTAAATTAAACTCAAAGAATGTAAAAGAAAGGAAATTGTAATAAAGAGAACTTGAACATACAATAAAACTGAATGAAACAACAGAGATAAAACTTAGTTCTTAAAAAAATTAATTTAAATTCTCCCTGGAAAGACTGATCAAAGAAAAAAAACCCAATAAAAATAAAAATGTACGTCAACACAAAGGCAGTCTTATTTATAATAGTCAAACTGTGGAAACACTTCCAGTATCCAGCAACTGGAAAAGGTGGTTTATCCACAGAATGGAATACAGAGACATGCTAAATATTGATATGGAGAAAAGGACAATTGATACTTAAGTCTCCACTTCTCAACAAGCTAAAATGCATGTTCTAAATGGAAAATAATTAAATATACAGGTCATTATCTGTTTCCTTCTCTAATATAGGTAGTTTCTTGGCAGCAGGTACTTCGCAGTTTTCATGTCTTTCAATGTATGAGTAATGGCATTCTCAGCAAATACTGAAATTTGAAATAAAGCCTACCTTTAGTTTCTCAGGACTGAAAGCATTGCACATACTATAGTTAGTTGAGGTTAGATTCCTTTCAGGGTCTTCAAACCAAACTCCATTTTCATCACAGTATTTTGAAGCCTTTTCTGTTAATGAAACATAACAGTTGTTATTAGATTACCATTTCAAAATAACAAGAAGAAAAAAATAATAAATTAGAGCTTAAAATTGATTCCAAAATGTTAATCACTTTATAGAACTTGAATGTGAATATCAGTAAATAGAGACTACCATCAATCTACTAGATCATAGAGATGTTTTAATTATACAAAATGTTGTTCCATTTTGTCTTCAGTAGAGCCCTGTAAAGCAGACATTGCTATCTCCATTTTCCAAACAGCATGAAGACAGTGAGAGAAGTTATGGAATTTAAAAGGTCAGTAGATAGTGGGTGAGCTAGGTATAAAATACCTGGTCTATCAGATGCCAAAGTGCTAACTACACTGTACCTCCTTTTTTTAACAGACATTAAATTTATAATTTTCTGTAGAACTATGTGAGAAGAGCAAGACATACTTTTCTTCATTTATACACAATATTTATTTACTAGATTGACTTATGAGACTGCAGTTTTTGTGGGTCAAATGGTCAAATAGGGGCAATTTCATATGGTTAAATTCAATGGAACACAGAAGTCCACAACTAAGGGCTATATCAAGAAGTCAATTTTATGCCTCTCAAAAACAATAAAAATTTCATTATCTATCTATCTATCTATCTATCTATCTATCTATCTATCTTTTTCTTATTGTTTTTACAGAGAGAGGAAAAGACAGAGAAAAAGACCAGTGAGAGAGAGTAGCATTGATTGGTTGCCCCCCATGCACACCTGGATCGACTGCCTCCTGTACATGCCCAGATCAGGGATTGAACCCATGACCCTTCAGTCACAAGATGATACTCCAACCAACTGAGCAGCAATGGCCAGTGAAAAAAATTTCATTTGTATCATCTCTCTTCATCCCACACAGAATGTATTAGATTTAGCTTTAATTAATTAAGTATAATTAATTATTTTTATTTTAACTTGTCTTATTTTTTTAGTGAGAGGAAAGAGGGGAGAGAGACACAGAGAGAAAGAGAGAGGGACATGGATTTGTTGTCCCACTTATTTATTGCATTCATTAGTTGATTCTTGTATGTGCGCTGACCAGGGTTCTAGTCAACAACCTTGGCATATTGGACGACGCTCTAACCAACTGAGATACCCAACCAGGGCTATTATTTACTTTTTAAGTCATCTCTTACATGATAGTGAGATTTGCTGATCCAGCTGGACTGGTATATTAAAAATTTTTTACCTTGACAGTGGACAGGCACTGTGCTAACAAGCACTTTGCAGAATTATCTTCTAAATGTTAATAATAACGATCATTTAAAGTGGGTATTGCTCTTCCCATTGTACATGTGAGGGAACTGAGGCTCAGAAAAGTTAATCTGCATTCTCTTACAAGTAGTAAGGCCAGGATCAAACCCAGGTCTACTTGATTCCAAAGCCATGGCAGGGCTATTAAGCTCTGCATTCAACCATATAGTCCTGTGGCAAGGTTATTTATACTCCATTCCAGAGACCCAAAGAATCACAAATAATTTTATTCAGTGTACGATAATATCTAAATTCTAATCAAATTTGCTATATAATTGGAAGAAAAATTCTTTTGAATTAAATAAAATCAAAATAATGAAAAACTTAACATTAAAATGTTTAAATTTGATCTGAGTCATTCAGACTTGCTTTAGCTCTCCAAACTACCTCTGCAATATATTTATTGCCTGAGAGATTATATAACAATCATCAATTGGTATAATACACAAAGAGATTTTATCAATATATTTGGAATAATCGACAAGTTTTGATTTTTGATAATTTCTTAGGAAAATATTTTTGAAGCATTTTTCTTCATTGACAAAAGCAAAGACCTAGAGATAAAAGCATCTACAGATAACTTTTTTATATGGCTTTGGTATTTTTTTTTTTAGCAGAGGGATGTGGAAATCAGAATCACATACTAATATTTGGAGGACATGGCCATTGTTTTAAAGGCTAAGGAAACAATTCATATTTAAAAAATTATTTGGCTGAAATATCACTGAGATCTGATAATATTTAAAATTGGTTTTCTATCAGTAGTTTTGGTAAGTCAATCAATATGCTGAGAGCTAGTAAAAAATCTTTTCATCTTTGACAGTTTTTACATGAAATTTATCATTTTTCTTTGTATTACTGAAACAGATATTACCAGACTAAACACAAGATTTAATCTGCATGTTGGAGATTCATTTCTATGTCTACTCTAACAATTATTTAAAATGGATGCAAAAAACACATATTCAAGCAAAAAAGGTTTTCAAACAACCCATTAGAATCATCATTGCTTAATGTAAATCTGTTATGAAGCTAAGTAGAGAATTTTTGAATTATGAACTTGCTGAGACAACCATTGGACAAAAACTATGTAAATAACTGGACACCAACAATGTTTCAAAAACAGCTAGCACCAAACAGCACAGAAAAATTGATATTAGAAACTGGTCAATGGTTCTGTTCATGCTATTTGACCATAAGGACCATTCCAAGCTTACTTGCAATGTAAAAAAGTGGTTTATAATGCAGCATTTTATTGTCAGAAGTAGTCTTTTGTTTTATTAAAGTAAACACAATTTGGTTTTAACAATATTATGGAACTGTGTATGGCAAAATATATTATACAGAAGAGATGCATTCGTCCTGGAGACATTCCAATCATGGACAGGACTGTAGGATATTAGTGCTTTGTTTAGATTTAACTGAAGTCTGGATGTGGGCATTTCCTGTTCTAACTGTTGCAGCCATCAAGACTTTGCCTTTTTCCACCCGGCAAGCTTTTCAATATTTGAAGAGAGAGTATGTGTGTTCTGATTTCCCTTTCCAAACTGAGCCCATTCACGCACACCACAGAGCGTGCTGTCCCTTCCCTGCCTGTGCTCGGAGAGCAGCGCTTCCCTGCCCCGTGAAGAGGACAGCCTGCTTCCTTCGCTGTAGATTCACAAGGAGGAATTTTCACAGATATTTAGGCCCAGTCCTCAGGGACTCAAGTGTGACTAGTGTGGAGAGGCACCAGGCATCTGCATTTTTATATAGCTCATTAATTGCAAAGGGTGTCAGGGGTGAGAATCCTTGTCGTAAACCATCTTAGCTCTACGCCTTAATGTGGATTAAGTGTTTGAGGGCGGGCCTTAAATACCTCCTTGCTAAATTTGCTTTTTACCCTCAAGCATATATTCCTTCAGGCTATTAGCCTCTTTTGATTTTCAGCACTGTTATTTGCGCTTTCATGACCTGCCTATCTTTCCGCCAAGCACGTTGTCTACAATGAAATCTCTGTCATTTCATTAAACTGTTTTGTGTATCATCAAGGTATGTAGTTTTAAGTTAATGGTAAAATCCTAAAGAATTAGTTTGTTGACTGTAGGCATTTTTAAATGTGCTTTCTTTTGAAGTGGATTGGTCCTCGAGATGAGGAAGTTCTAGCTACAAACCAGGCTGAAAAGATGGATCGATGCCTGGAAATCCCTGTTTTGCTGACCAAAAACTTGCCTCTTAGTTAATAATTACAGCCACTTTGGCAAGAGCCCCTTGCCGCTTTGGAACTGGCCTTGTGTCCTCAAGTGCAAAACAGCTCTTTGTGCCGGTCAAGTCACCTCTAATGTAGCTGTCAAATCAAAGTTAATGAAGCATCATTTATTGGGAAGAGTCAGTAAAGACCTGCAGGATTACCGTCAAAGAGCTTTTAGTTAGAGTTTACAGGAACGCTTGCTGAATGGGGCATAGGATTAAGCCCTTTCTCTCTTTGCATCCCAGACGTGGCTGGCCTGAACCGGTTTTGAGAATGGCTCCCTGTCATCCCGCTTCCATTGTCTCTGCCTTACTGAGGGAGAACATAGGCTCTCTTCCTTGAGGAAAGCACAAAAAGCATCTCCCAAACATTGTCTTGGGGATAGACGCATTTCCCTGCTCTAACCTGGATTCCAGAAACTTTCTTACCTGTCTTGTAGCATCTGACTGCTGTGTTCTGGCTTAGCTGATGTCCTCACCTTCATTCTATGGGCAACAACCTCTCGTCATTCGTGGTCAGTGAGCAAAGCTAACTAGGTGGGCTGGTTGACCCTGAAATGTGGTAGAAACTCTGACCAAACAACTCTAAAGTCAAAGCTGATTTTCCTTAGTCTCTTAAGTGTGAAACAAACACTGATTCACAAAAACACAAAAAAATGTGTTTTGCAAACACATTTTTGCAAAATGCTATTTCCAATCCAGGCCAGATCACTCAAAGAAGATCCTCCTTTGTCAGGACCCTGGCATTCTCTTCTGCTGATTGGATGTTCTCTCTTCCATGGAACCATTTTCTAAGGGACAGTGAGGAAGAAGGAGGTAGATGGGCACAGGTGTGGAGGGACTACTGTGCTCCATCTTAGCACCTCTCCTCAGAAGAGATGCGGAGCTTGGGGCGGAGTAACCCGCTTGCCCGTGCCCTGTTCCCACAGCCCTCCGGTTTCAACATCAAGAGCCCCTTAAACACCCCCTGCAGGCTCAGGCTCTGGCTCGCTCTACTCTTGGGAACAAATCTCACCCTTGAATAGGGACTGACACAACGTGTCCCTAGCTGGGCCCGCTTACTTGCATCATCTGCGTCTGTTATAACTAAGGTTTACATCCCCTTTTCAGTATCTTAATCCCAGAATTATTTCAATGGGATAGATCTTCTACTTAGTCCTTTGGCACAGACTTTTCTGGCATGATACCCACAGCCCTGACACCAGCTACCACCTCCGCCTGCCTGGACCCCCTTCTTCCATGGTCTCTATCAGCCTCATCTGACACTACGCTCTGCCTCCCGTGGGGGCAACTTCTTCGTACACTGGCTGAGCTTCTCTAATGTTAGCACTTTCTTATTTGAATTTCCTTTATTGTTTAACACATTTTCATCTGGGCTGCACTTTTAGCCACAAGTACAACTTTCAGAAATCCTGATGCCTGGCATGTACTCCAAACTAATGAAATCAGCATGTTTAGTGTGGTAATGGGCATCAGGATTTCTTTTAAAGATTCCTAGTTTCTTAGCCTCGTTGAGAATCACTCACTCACTACTGGCACTTACCAACCCATTCTCCATTCCCATGTGTCTAATTTCTCAATTGAGGCTGCTTGAAAATCTCATATATCTCATACATTCCTCTGCATTGTTCATGACCACTCAACACTGAGCATACTAGATTTCAGATCTTTAATCTATTTGAATATCTGACAACTCTAAGATATTTGACTTCAATCCTTTACATTCTCACTCAACTTTGTACATTGTATTCTGAAACCTTTATCCTGCCTAAGCATCTAGCCCAACTTCCAACTACACCCGAGTGACTACATTGAGGCTGATAGGAAAAATATATCCTTCCTTGAAAGTTCTAAAATTACTTAAATTTGCACAAGTTTGTAGGGAGATTTAGAAATACTGTTTCTCAAAAGCTTTTCCAAGACTGTTGCATTTCCTTATGCAGAGAGAGTTAGGTAAGAGCTCAGAGACTGGGGTTCACCTGTGGTCTTATGTCAAACATTGAGTATAAAATGAGATTAAAGTGGTCCCCCCTTATCTCTTGGGAATACTTTCTAAGACGCCCTGTGGGTGCCTGAAACCATGGATAGTACTGAGCCCTATGTATACTATGTTTTTTCCTGTACAATTTATAAATTAGGCACAGTAACAGATTAATGACAATAACTGATAATAAGGAGAGCATTAAAATAACATACTGTAATAAAAGTTCTGTAAATGTGGTCTCTCTCTCTGCCCCAAAATGTGTTATGGTGCTGTAGTCCCTTTTTCGCTTAAAGGAAGCACTTCATGGCTTCTCTTTGGCATGTCTGAATTGCCAGCATCACTTCTCTTGTGTTTTGGGACCATCATTAAGTAAAATGAGGACTGTTTGAACACAAGCACTGCGATACACGACAGTTGATTGGATAACAGAGATGGCTATTACGTGAGTTCAAGTGTGGGTAGGGCATACAGAGTAGATGCTCTGGACAAAGAGAAAATTCACATCTTGGGAAGGACAGATCATGCTGCACAACTGAAAACTTGTAAATTGTTTACTTTTGGAATTTTTCATTTAATATCTTTTGGACTATGGTTGACCAGGTGTAACTGAAACCACAGAAAGCAAAATTGCAGATGAGGGGGCACTACTGTAATATATATAAAAATGTTTTGAGAAGTAAAAAAATAATATTCAATGAAAAGTGTTCCTACATTACTTTTATAACTAAAGTTAATTTTGTATTGCTATTTTACTGAACACACACTTGTTGTCTGCCTATGTGCAGGACACAGAGCTGGGTGTTAGTATAACCCATCTTAACAGTACTGGTTTTATTTTCTGAGAATATGTTAATAATCTGCTGGAACAGAAATCTGGTACCTATGGTTAATACTTTCAGATTTATTTTCCCTTACACACCACAGTTTTACATAATTTTCAACATTATATAAAATTTCTATTGTGCCTTTTATACCAGCCTGGTATTTGCAGAGTTTAGATCAAGCATTTGCATTAAGTCACCAAAATGTGAGACAATTAAACATGTAAAGGAGCCATACATTTAAAAAAAAACTGTGCAGTTTCAGAAAAATTAATTTAAATTTTTATTAAAATTTAATATTTAAAATATATAAATAATTTTTATTCAAAATGTAATAGAACCTATGCCCAGTGTGCACAACTGACAAGTAATGTGATTTAAAAAATAAAGACAGCTTACAATATTTGTGCAGCCACGTAATTTCATTCATGGGAATGCTTCGGCACACGCTAACATGTGCAGAGTATGATGAGGCAGGTGTATTTTACACCTAATGAAAACTCTAAAAGCCTCCTAGCAACATAGAGAGTAAAACTGGATATTCTACCTGTGGGATCGAAGTCTGGAAAATAATCCGGGCAGTGCTGATGGGATGTCACTCCAGCCGGCGTGTCGTCCCAGCACAGCCATCCGTCCCAGGTGCGGTTGCAGAACAGACCTGGCCGTTCAGAAAGAAGTTAACATTGCCGTTGTCAGAAACTGCAGAAGCCTTAGCAGGATTTCATAGTGCACAGATAGTTATTCTGGGGCTCTTCGCTTGGAAAAAACATTTAAAAGTAACTGCAGCAGCAGCAACAACAAAATAGAGGTGTTAACTTCACCAACTGCTAATGAAATTTACATTTTTCTAGGATTTTTCCCCATTTGTTCCTCAAAAGACACGAATATCTTCTGTATGGAATCTTTCATCCAAAACTCTTTCCTTTAATTAATTAATTAATTTAAACTTTATTTTTATTGTCGACATTATTACAGACGACCCCATTACCTGCCCCCCTTGCCCACCTCCACCCAGCCCTTGCCGCCCCCCTCCCCTCAGGCCATCAGCACACTGTTGTCTGAGTCCAGGGGTTATGCATATATGCTCTTTGGCTGATCCTTTCACTATGTTTCATCCAGCCCTGCCCCCTCCCTGACAGCTGTCAGTCTGTTCCATGAATCCATGACTCTGCTTCTATTTTGTTCATCAGTTCATTAGATTCTACGTGTAAGTGAAATCATATGATCTTTGTCTCACTGACTGGCTTATTTCACTTAGTATAATAATCTCCAGATACATCAATGTTGCAACAAAAGGTAAGAATTCCTTCTTTTTTATGGCTGTGAAGTATTTTCTTGTGTAAATGTAACACAGCTTTTTTATCCACTCATCTACTGATGGGCACTTGGGCTGTTTCCAAATCTTTCCTTTAAAATGTCTCTGGAAATACTATGAGAGAAATCTTGTGAAAGTATATACAAAATCACCCTTGGATAAAGCTTACCTTGAAAAAGCTGTATGGCTTTGGAACATAAGCATCTAACTGACCACTGACCTTCAGAGGGGTTGCCTTGGGTGGTTCTAGTCTTAATTCAAAAGTGATTTGGTTGTTCAAAATTCATACTGAAGATGCATTTGCAGCCAGTTGAATAACAATACAGTCTATTATTTTAGAATAACACTTTATTACTGCCTAAAATAATGCTCAGTTTGATTGCATACTCATCAACATTGGCTCCAAGTGGTTTCTCACAATCTTCAAAAATTAAATCTACCACAGAACACAAATATTTATCTTTATAAAAGAATGAACCTCAGGCTTTGAAGGTAGTTCTCAAAAAAAGTTTTAAATAGTGATCAATAGCACAAAAGTTCACCGTCCCAAGGTAACTAAGACCGAAGCGAGGGTGGCTGCACTTGGCCTCGGCAAACCCCAGTTTTGTGTTCCTATGGCTCCATTTACTTCAGAGAAATGGTTTCTTTTTGGTGGCAAGTTCCATCTACTGCCTTTTCAGGTTCTTAAGAAACACTGAAACTACTGCAGACAGAAAAATAACATGTACCTATTTTTCAGTTGACTTGATTTTTTTTTTGTTTAAACAAAAGTGGGAACTGCAAATTAAAATTTTAACTATTTGAAGGCAAACCATATAGTAATAGACTATATTTAACCAATTCTCCCACACCCAAAAAAGATCTTGTTGGGTCTTTTCAAATGATTTAGGGGGCAGAGGAGAGAATTTAAACAGACACAGCAATGCTCCCTCCCTTTTGTTTTCCTGTGGGCCCTCTACAGCTAATCAAATATGCTTGGCCCTGAGAATATTTGGGTAATCATGTAGAGCATTCTAGAAAAGTGATAGATAAACAATTCTGTCTAGGAGATAACTTTTTAAAATTCATCAGGGAACTGGGGGTAGAAAAAGAAAAGAAATAACATGAGTTACCAACCAATTGACAGATAATGGAAGATGCTGCCTAATTAGCCCAAATAAGACTTGAGTCTTGACAGGTTCCACACTCTGGAGAATTCTCTGCCCACGGTTTTCCAATCCCCTTCCTGTTATTGTCCAATTCCTTTCCCGCACTTAGTCTTGTATTGTTCCTGCTTGCCAGGTGCAAATATTGAGTTATTGTAGTAATTGTCTCCTAAGTGCAGATGTTAGCCATAAAGTTCTTGGATGAACTTGAGTAAAGAAACTAGGCATGTCTGCTGCATGAAATACACAATCATTCCATGGGATGAAAAGCACTGTGAAAACTACTGGCATATTAGGTTGAAATTAGTCATTACATATTTACCCATGGAAGAAAATAAACCTCCAATGATATTTGAAACACATGCTAACACAATTTTTCTTTTTACCTTCTCCTTGGTATGGGGGCAACTGTTGCATGCGTCTATAGCACTTGGCCTCTGCATCCTTCATTTTCCTTCGTCCTAAAATGTACAGAAATGGCTCAGGCTCCCCTGTTGGACTGGCATCATTTGAAGTGTTGGGGAGGACCATGGTTGGTTGCTGTATAAAAAACAAAAATCAGTTACTTATAGAGAATACATATGGCTGTGTACATAAATAAATGAAACAATAAAAAATTTGAGAACATTTATTTTTCCTCCTATAAGCAACAGGTATACATGGTCTCCTGTAGAATATTTTGCTTTATAACAAAAAAGTGTTTATATTGCATCCACGAATTCTACCTACAAATTCCATATTTGCATTCACTCCCTTCAGTATTGAAAATGTACAGCAGCCATACAAACTCATGCACCTCTTTGTTATATAAGATTGTTTTAATGTTATTATTGCTATAGAGTTTAGATGTCAACAAATAAAATAACCTGATTTCCAAACAATGTGAATGTTAAACCAACTTTGTTTTTTTGGAACTCCTAAGAATCATTAATCATGTTATTAAAAATAGATGTATTAGTGCACTAAATAAGCTTTTTTAAATAGTGTTTCTTCAGCTGATTTTTATTTGTACGTGAATTGTACACACTGCCAAAAATTTATCCCGTTTACTCCATAGTACAAACAAATCTATTCTGAGATATTCTGCCTTGAATAATTGACCTTAAGCTCTTTAATTTGTTTAGTCAGCATTTGACCTATACAGGGTTATTCATTTTCATCAGTGAAAATCAGTGTGAATCTTGAATATTTCTTTTAGATATTTTGCATTTTTGGTACAGGCCGTCCCACATTAGTTTTGTCAGTCTCAGTTAATCCTCATCGCCATTACAAGTCCTGTTTATCGATGTTAGGGGGTGGGTGGGTGGGGGTGTGTGTGTGTGTGTGTGTGTGTGTGTGTGTGTGTAAGACATCACTGTCTGATATATCATCTTAAATCGTGTTCATAGAGATGTCAATTTATTTTGTGGCTATGATGTTTCAGTGGTTTTTGAGTGTGTGATTTAAAAAAAAAATCTAGGTTCTACATAGTCTTTTTTGGAGAAGGCTTGCAAGCTTCAGCCTGCCCTGACTTTTCTTCATTGGCAGTTAGGAATACTCCTTACTCTCTTTTTCTCATATCTGTTGAAACACACTGTTTTATAACTTTGTCTAAATTATTCTAACATTGAAGTTTTCCCAAATGTATTGATGACAGAAGTAGCTTTATGTACTTTTCTCTATTCCATACAGTTTCTAAAGCAAACTCATCCCATTATATACTCCAGGCCATTCATGGTAGAGCCTCCCTTTTTTCCAGCATACGTCATTGTGTAGATGGGGCTTCCTGTTCTATGAGGTAGCATGTCACTAAGTGCTAAATTGTACAGTGCAGAATACTACAATAAAAATTCAGAGTGGAGGGAGGGCATGGAGCAAGAATACTAGTCAGGAACTACTACAGAAACAAGGTAGGACTTGAATTGGACCTTGAGTATATGCAATGTCTGCAGAGGCAAAGGGGAGAGGGCAGCCTTTCTGAAATGCTTATAAGTCTTGAGGTAGGAAATGGCATGTGTGAGACACTGCAGGGAAACCATGTGACTGGAGGGAGGTATATTTGTGGGTTAGTAAGATATGGAGTCAAGGAAAATCAGGTAATACAAGGCCTGGCAAAAACAAATAGAAATATGAAGTGCTGGGACCTGAAAGACTCGATGCATTTTAGCTGATGTTATTAAGCATGATAATGGAATGATATTTTGTAGCTTTTGATCATTGAAAGCTGTGAGTGGAGAGTGTTAGTAAAATTCTGTGGTAGGCCTCAGGTGTCCAGTGATTGTTTGGAGAGACCTGCCAGGAAGCTGAAGGTAAGGACTAGATCATCTCACGATGGAACAAAAAAGAGCCACTCTCAGCACTTTCCCAAATAATAAAAACATGAAGGCATATTTGAATGAAGGGAATGGAGAATAGTATTAATCAAATAGCCCAGATGTGTTGGTCTATATTACTGGAAAAACATATTAGCCGAGAAACACAAGAAGTTTGGAAAGGAAAATCGTATTACGGTTAAGAAGGTAAGTTCCCTCTTAGACTTGTTTTGGAGATGCCATTAAGTTACTTGAGTAGAAATTGCTTGCAAACACAAGAGAGGAGATAATTATTACTGTTATAACATTAGTGTTATAACTGTAGATGGGCATTGGTATTAATGTAAGTTAAAGAATGGTCAGTCATTAAATGTTCAGATATTCCATCAACAACTGGAATGTGGTTTGGGAGTAAAATCAAGTATTTTAAAGAGAGTTAATGTAATGCTTCTTTTTGGACTTTATTAGCCTAACACTTCTATGAATGTGTGTGTTAATAATTTGATTAAAGATCATGTAACTGATCTTTAATAAACCATGGTGTCCTCACAATATATTAATGATTGGTTGAGCTTATACATCTATTTTAGATTCTTCATGGCTCTATTATTAGAATCTTTAGTTGATATGAGAATTATCACTTGACATATTATTTATCTCTCACCATCTTCCAATCAAATTAGAAGATGGACTATGTCATCTGTAAATCTTTTCTGTCACTTCTATTAGATATTTTAGACACTAGGGACTACTTTTGCTTATGCTTGGCATTCTTTCCAGAAGCAGCATTCTGAATTCTATCTTTAAATGTACTGGACAACCAATTAAAAAATGTTCCTGCACTAGTTGGAAATTCATGGAAGCCATGGGGAGGCAGTATGTGCAAAGATATCAAAGAGAAAACACTGTACTTGTATTTTCAATTACAGCATTATTTGATTTAATGCGGCTTTGACATCAGTAATAGTGGACACAGGAGCATCTGAAGTAGGTAAATTTCATGCAGATGACAGTAGCATCAATCTTATCATTCTTGCAATGTCGAAACAATCTCCAGTGAACTTGGTTTGGAGCCGGTTCAGTAGAGATTGTATCAACACTGAAGGAATGAGGAATTAGAACCTTGTTGTTGGATGAGTCATAATAATCTTAGTCCACTCTTGGTCTGGTTCATATTTGAGCATGGAATTTTTGATGATGGAATTTTCCAGTGGTAGATGAATATTTCAGTGACTGTCTTCTGAAAATAACATACACATCCAGGCCTTCTGTTATATACATATATATATAACAGATATGTTGATACAGATATATATAAAATTATTTATCTATAAATATATGTGAACTTATTTCTATATAAATATATAATTATTTCTATAAATATATATTTATATACAAATATGTATAAAATATATACTTGTATTTAAGATTATGTATATATAAAATTATTATATATATAATTCCAATCATGGAATTACTACTGCTTAAAAAGAACACATACATAAATTTCATAAAATTCATTAAACACATTCAACTTTTTGCTGATGATTTCATACAAATTAAAATTGCTAGTGAGGTGGTATAATTCTCAGCAACAAAGAACGTTAGAAGCAGTAGTGATAGATAAAACTACCAAGCAATGTAAAAGCCTTAACATGTGTTAAGGCTTATCATGTGTTATATTCATACTATATATTTGGGAGATGTAAATAAATATATGATATTATGCTCACATGAAGGTAGAAACAAGACATTAAAGACATATTGTTTATTTGAATGTAGATTGCTGTTCAGTGTTTTGCTCACAAGCTATCTGACGTAAATCTTCCAAAACACAACAAAAGGCAACCTCTTAATTGTTGTCCTGTGTAGCAGTTTAGCAGCCATATACATGATGTCACTCCTAAAGGTTCAAGGAAATGGCGCCACACATACGACCACCAAGCTGCCACCGACAGTTCTAGTCCGTAGCTGACACATCGCTGGTTCTTTCAGTTAATAAATACTTTGAGTGTCCCTCACGTGCCAGGCACTGTTCTGGATTGTGAGGATTCAGCAGTGAACAAAACTGGCAAGGTCCCTGCCCTCGTGGAGCGTACAGTCTAGCAGGTTTCACCCAAACTAATCATGGAGCCCAGAGGGAAGCCGTCTGATTTGAATGGTCATGTGCTCAAGCAATTCTTACTTTGATGTAAGACAATCAGCTTACTTCTTGGTTATAGGTGGTTTCTAGAAGGACAGACTGAACGACCACAGAGCTGCTCTGTGTAGAACTTGGAGAAATGGTCTATCTCTGCCGTGGTTCTAACCTACTGAATGTGGGACCCATGCAACTGCACTGAAGGGAGGGATTCCTAGTGACTGCCAGACTGAACTGCTCTAAAAGGAATATGAATCCACATCCACAAAGTGATATAATAAAGAGGATCTCCACTTCACCATCCTTAATAATGATAATGTATCGATAACGTATATGTAAGAATTATTTGCAGTTTTCAGTTACTTATTCCTCTCAAAGTAACAAAGAATACAATAGAACTTTGTAAAGCATTAGTCCTGGTTCTTCCAGGTGGGATCAGATGCCTGGTTGATGTCTAATGTACTTGCTACTTAAGCAGGAGATAAACACCAAAACTGCTGCATATGTGATAAATTCAAAGCAAATAGGGGAATGCAGCCAAAAAAAGACAACAACAAAATGCTTCTCAGAAGAACCTATTTTTTCTTTCTTCTTTGTGGTTGTCACTGTCATCATCTTATCATTATCGCTAGCATTTTTGGAGTGCTCACTATGTGCTAAGCAGCGTTCTAAGCTTATTGCATTACTACAGATATGGGAGAGGAAATGAGGCAGTGGTTTTAATTAATGTAGATGAGGCTAATGGAATGTCACGACTCAAGCCGGTACTTTAAGGTCCATTTGGAAATCAGGTTGGTAGAATTCGATAAATATACTGGTAGTGCCTTTTCACAATATTGCATCTAAGAAGTGGCATTTTGGAGTAATTAAAGTCAATGTCATTTTGTTTAAAAATTTACTTTTCTCTGAGGAGCATCAACATGGAACATAATGAGTGCTGTAAAAGGAAATTGATGGATCAAAAATGTTTCAAGGACAAATCCTTCAAATCAAATATATAATCCAAATTCAGACAGAGAAGCAAATTTGTGTATTCAGAAAGAGCACAAAACCATTGAAGTGCCCTGAGCAGTTATGTTTGCTAATAAAGAGATGCCCACCAACCATAAAACATTTTTGTCCATGGCTCATGCAAACATATGAAATTCTTTCAATCTTTGAATTTTATAATTTATCAGGTAAAAGTTTTGAATAAAATTGACCTACATTAGTTTCTTTAACACACCAAAAATTATTAGTAGCCTTTATAATAACAAAGGTGATGAGATAATAACAAACTGTCTTGTTATTTCTAGTAGTTACTTTAGCTTTCTATCAATGTCTAATATAATGATATGCTTTAGGAAATAAAATTATTTAAAATTATTAATCACACATAATTATTAAATTCACACATAATTGATTAGACAGAATTTTATTTGAGCTATAACAATATCAATATATTAATAGAATATACCAATATTTCTACATTTATAGCATAGCACATAAGATATGGGAATTTACGGACAAAATATTTTAATAGTTTCCACAATATTCTTGTTTAAATGTTTTTATTATATTTCCAATAGCATAAAAGTGCCTGCATTTCTACATACTAGATTACTTTTAGCAAATTATATTACAATTTATCTAAAGATTAAAATAATATGATAGTCTTATACAATAAAATAAATTCTACTCATTATCTAAATATTCCTATAAATCACTTATAGGTACAAAAGGGGCTACATTAAAATTTATTCCTATAAATTACTTATTTGATATATAACATTACAAAATAAAAACTACCTTTAAAATTAATTTAACACTTGTAGAATATTAGTACAATAATATTCTTCCTTGAATAATGTAAGGTTTATGCAAACTCATGGAACCCTATGCTATCTTTGTTTGGGTAAGTACAATAGTATCAGATACTAAGTGATCTTTACTGGCAGCTGTAATTCATTGGATCATGTTGTTTTGATGTGGTAGAGAGTACAGGGGTCAAGATAACTCCCAATCTGTTTATTGAAATTTTACTTATCTCCCTTTCATGTGCTATTAAAATGTTATGATATTGGGTTAACAAAGTTGACAAAAGATAGGCATTGATAGGGTTTTTTAAGACAATTATAGTTCTAGCTACTTGCTAAATCATTTATGAATAAAACTACAAAATTATATAAAATGGACATGGTTTAAAAGGCTGGAGAGTTATGAAATGAGAGCGGTATGTTAAGATTTAAAACTGTCAGTTTTTGATAAGAAATGCATTTGAGAATCAATAAATAGACTGAAAGAGTTCTTATGTTTTAAAAAGACAGCAGCCCAGAAACTATAACTCAAATTCACATGTCTAACATGAAAAACATTTTATCCAAAACATTATTAACCTTCAATATTAATTTCCAAGGTAGTAAAGAAACACCTTGAATTAATGCTAAATTTTTGTAAACCAACAAAGCACATTTCTGGGTAAACCTAACACTAAGTTAAATCAATGTAAGTTCCAAGGGGAGATTTCTTAACAAAATATTAAGAAAATGATAGTTTTGAGGAACTTAGTTTTGGCTTCTGGAGAACAATGTCTACTCCTACTATAATGTCTATTCACTCATCCTACAAAACATTCCTCCATATTTCAGCATTCTTGATTGACATAGCTTAGAATAATTTCATTTTACTTACGTTTAAAATGATGAACAGTATGAAGCACCAGCGAGTAAGCGAGAACGACATCTTTGCATTTGAATTCGATTTTTTAATTCCTAGAAAAAAAATGACATATAAATGGACATAGCTTTAATATTGATTATAGTCTTTCTTTTTCTTGTTTTTCTATTTAACTTGAAGAGGATCAATGTCTCAGGACACCCTGAATAAAACCCATGTAATTAAGAACAGTATGCGTGTGACTTCATGTTCCATCGCCCTTCCTGTCACCCAGAAAAGGGTGTTGTCTGGGTGTTGTCTGAAGGCCTCCCTGAGGTGTTCTGGAGCCACCTTTCCATATCAAGACCAAAATAAAGAATTCTGAGAAATCAAGAGCAATCAATGTGCACTTCAATTAATAAGTGACATCAGTAGGACCACTGGAAATTTCAATGGAAACATCTGTAGAGTCGCCTCACTGAGCATGAACAAATAAATTCTGTGGCTTGTAAAGGATTAGCGGTCACACCTCTGGGTAATGAAAATGCCAACTTCTCTGTAAGGAGCCTTATTTAGAGCCTTGAATATTTTTCTTTCCTACAAAATTTTCTTCAAGCTTCAAGTTGCTATTAAGAATAAATTTCTTCCACAGCAAGGGCTCATTCTGTCACCGAACAGGTCACCATTCTTACTCAAGGCCACAATAGTCTGAGGCAGACTGCTTTGTCACAAACGTCAACAGTTTTTCAGGACTGCAGATACTTTTACATAAAGAAAGATAATAAAGGAGTAAAAATTTAAAAAAACCCATATATTTCTTTTCATCAATGGGATTTGTGTGAAAACTGTATTTTAACTAGGGGTGAGTAGTTGTAGTGGCATCTAAAACTACAATATATTTATTGTACCACATACAGATTTTACATATTCTGTTAGGTATGAATTAGTATCTACACACTGTGCCCAATAGACTTGTCCCCAAAAGAGTAAGTTGTATTTAATTTACAAAGTTTCTCTTTATTAACTACATAAATTGGTAAACTATAAACAATTTTTCATTGTGTGTCAAAATCCTTAATACATCCAGACCCTCGGGCCAGTATTTTCCTCCCTCATTAGGACAGAATCAGAAACTAGTCCAGGTTTAATCATGGATATATTGTCTATTGTGGTGGGATTTGAAAGTAATCTAAACCCTCAAAATAATAAATTTGTTAAACAAACGCTGGTACATCTATACTATGGAATACTATGCCACCATTAAAAATTGTGTATTAGAATATTTAATTACCTAGATAAATTCTTTATGGTACATTATATTAATTTAAAAATTATTTTGAATTAAACACACATAAACTCTCTCTGTGTAAATATATATTTATATGTGCACAGAAGAAAGGCTTAAAAATAATAATATTTTGATTTCTTATTACACAGCAGGCACTATAAGTGTATTACCTTATTTTGTCATGTATACTGTGCACTTTTTTGCCCAAATTTTTGAGGGAAAAATAAGGCACATTATACATGGATGGTACTAATTCTGTATCTATATAAATGTTTTTAATTCTCTTATTTATGCTTATGTGTTAAAAATATAACTCTAGAAAGCAATAATGATATCCTATGTAAAATAATACCCTGGACTATGGTAATCAGTTTTGTCTCTAAATATAAACAAATAAAAATATGAATTAAAAAGTTAGAATGAAAGATTTTTTTCCTGAAAATTTGGGCCAGAAATATGGGTGCACATTGTACATAGGAGTGTATTACACAGCAAAATACGCTATCTCTCTTAATCCTTTCAACAGACTTCTTGTGCAGGTACTATTCCTAGGTAAATTATTAGTCAGATTTGCTATGTAACAAACAACTCACAAATCTCAGTGGTTTAAAAGAATAGATACCTATTTTTCACTCAGGTTGCAGGGAGCTCTGGGGCAGCTGAAGCTGCCTGAGTGGATCTGCCCCCCCCCCCGACTTTCTTTCTGTGATCCAGGCGGAAGGAGCAGCAGTGACCAGCACGTTGTTCTGCTGGCCAGAGGTGGCCATGATGGAGGAGCCAAATCGCCAAGTGGCATTTCAAGCTTTGCTCAGACGGGTTAAGACACAACTACACACAACCCATTGACCTAAGCAAGTTGTAGGGTTGAGCCCAATGTCAATGTATCTGAATGAATAATCTTTTTCTGAAGAAGGAGAAAATGAATCAATGAAAAATTGGAAGTACACATACGCATACGTGCACACACGTGTCCTCAGGAAAATCTCCCAAGTTTCCATAAGAGAGTAAATGGCAGAGACGGTACTAAATGAACAACTATTGTTCATTTTCCAAGTCTCTTACTAACATCATTTATGTAACATTAATAAGCCAGAGCATGAAGGCAGAACATACCCTCAGAACATTAAATGTGGAGGGAATATATTTTGTGTGGATTTTTTTTTTGAGGGGAGATACATTACTTTTTTTTTGAAGACTTTATTTATTTACTTACTTATTTTTAGAGAGAGGGGAAGGAAGGGAGAAAGAGAGGGAGAGAAGCTTCAAAGTGTGGTTGCCTCTCACATGCCCCCAACTGGAGACCTGACCTGCAACCCAGGCATGTGCCCTGACTGGGAACTGAACCAGCGACCCTTTGGTTCACAGACCTGCACTCAATCCACTCAGCTACACCAGCCAGGGCTTTTTGCTTGTGGTTTTGATAATGAAAAAAGAAACATAGAGTAGGTGTCACCACTCAGTACCTCTACTTTACAGACACAAAAATAGCACAGACAATATTAAAAGTCACACAGATAATATGTAGTAGCAAGTATAAGTTACGGGCTGTTTCATGATTGGAAACTCGAGGACTTCTCAAGCCTGGATGCTTATAAGAAGCACCTGGGAATTTTAAAAGCACACTGGTTTTTTGGCCTCTCACTCAAGATTCTGATTCACTCGGTGTGGCGCAGCTGTTGGTAAGGAAACATCCACTTCAGTTCCCGGGTAGAAGACTGGCTAGATCTAAAATGAACTTTTGGTATGCTTTTTAATTTTTAGAAACAAAATGATTCTTAACCAAATTGATGGAAATAGTTATTTTAAGGGAAGGGAATTACATGAAAATTATATATTCCTCTTTCTTATCATAGAAAACTCCAACTTTTATATGAAGAATCCTATGTGACAGAAATGAACTGTGGACGTAGAGGAAAACATCCTGCTCTGAGGCTGTGACTCAGTTGAACCATAATAAAGATTACACCAGGTAAGTGGCTATCGATTTATCATTTTCAGAACCACCAGTTTATGTGCCCAGGAAACATGATGATGACCATTGGCACATTAAATTGAATGTTACCACTTGAAAGATAACTTGGTTTTAGTCAGAGGGAACAAAGTTTTGTTTCTAGGAATTGGAGCTGGATTCAGCCTTTGATAATTCTGTGACTGGGCTGAGGGTGGAGGAAGGCCTAGCAGCGCCATCTTGGTTCAGAGAAAAGCATGGCAGGGAGGGATCCCCTAAGAGTCCCAGGCAACATTTTTTCCGTCAAATTTCTTAGATTGTCCTCAACAATATTGGATTTTAGACAGGAAATGATGAAATCTTATGTTGCACATTATTGAAAATCTAATTTGTGGAGCGATTCTCTCAAGAATTGCTGGCAACTCTGAGACTCAAGTTATTAGAAATATGATATTGTTACTTTGGAAAGAGAAGATCCTTCTAGGCTATTTAAGAATGAACAGGCTTCCTAATCTCATACCATATAAATAAACAGATACCCAAGTCCTTTTGGACCTTTTAGTACATATGACAAAAACAAAACAAAATGAAAAAACTTTCAAGACAACTCAGCAAAAAATTCCAATTTTAAATCAATCTAAAACTTTGGAGTTTAACTGCAGAAACCAGCTTTATTTTCTTTCTAAAGATTTTGGCCAAAAAAACCTTTGAAATACTCACATTTGGAGATGAAGCTGATAGCCAGGGGGAAGAGGGGTAGGAGTAGATAAGGTGGTTGGGGGAGGTGGAGGTGGTGAAAGGGGGGATAGATGGGAACAGGAAGAGACTTTGCTTTGGGTGGTGAGTGCACAATGCTGTGTGCAGATGATTTTTTATTGAGTTGTACACTTGAAACATGTATGCTTTACCTAACCAATGTCACCCTAATAAATTCCATAAAAATACAGAAGTTTCTTATTTATTTTCTAAACAGAAAATCATTCTATCAAGTGATTTTTTTTTTTATTCCTGGAACAATGTTACATTTGAAGACTATATCTTTGATTAGGGACTCAGCATCAAGTAAATTATATGAATGACATCAGTATATCTTCAAAGTTTAAATACAGAACTGAAATACCTCTATAGTAAAATTAATAATAGTTAATTCTAATTCCAAATGAGGATACATATATGCTGAATACATAAAAATGTAGTTCCCTACATCATTTTAAAGTTTTTTTATAATCATATTATTTAGACATTATGTTTATAGTATTTTGCTAATTTTTTAGTATAGAATGGACTTTCAGAGATGATTTGGAGTGAGCTGTATCTTCAAAGAAAATCTTCTCTATGGGCTTGGGGATTTTTTTCTCGCTGTAAGTTTCCCCATTGTGAGCAAAGGCATTTATTTATATTTTAGTAATCGGAGAGAAAGAATAGTGAGTACTTGTTAATCATTTATATTGATGATCTAAAGATGTGTCTTCCCCTAAAAACTATATATTGAAGTCAGAGTAGGTTAGCATTTCTCTACTCCACATTTTCCTGGTTCAGAGTAACCTGAAGAACTGAGACCTGTCGAATGGCCATAGGGAGTGGTTCCCCAGGGACCATTAAGGTGTGGCTCGCCTTCCACTGCCAGAAGCCTCCCTGCCTGTCAGGGGCGGCTCTGGGAAGACTCCACCCTGCCCTGCTGGGCTTTCCTAAAGGAGCTTTACTCAGCTTTTTGAGAAAGGTTGGCAATAACACTGCGGTTTGCCTGTGTTGCATCAAATCCCTCATCTCTAAGGCTGGACCAAGAGCTGGGGAGCCTCTCTACTGTTAATTGGGAGAGTGACAGGATTCTTTTTGGAGAGAGAGTTGGGGAAGAATGATCCCAGAGGCAGGGGCAGCCA